GAAATCCCTTCTTGCAGGCAATAGTAAAAGTTACAAGTACTGTTGAGTGTTGTGGATATTGAAATCCGGTGGAACGACCTGGGCCCCCGGCGTCCTTGCTGCCGTTAGCTCGTACACGCACGCTGTAGTTCACGTACACACTGCAAACAATGGAGCAGCAGTGCTGACGGCTGCAAGGTCAGCAACGCCCAGGTCATGGCCCCGTGGCCGCTTCGCTTCTCAATGGCAATGTCTACAGCAGTAAATACTGTAAAACATTTCATTTTCGGTGCAACTTTATTTTCGGTGATTTCGGTAGAGAAACCAGGCACCTAGATTAAATTTTAGACAACACATAAAATGACTGTAAGCGAAGGGAACCCTGGTCACCTAATTCTATATTACACCTGAAACCTGGCAGGTCCCTGCCACCGAAATTCTAATACACCTAACATGTCATGTTTTACAGCATATACTGTACTGTACTGTATAAGCAGAAATATTTGTCTGGAATTTAATTTCGTCTTTTTCGTCCAAGGAGCTTTTGGACTAATGTCGATTTGTCCAGCTTTTCAGTACACTCTTATGATCCATGGACGAAATTTACAGCCGGACGAACTCCCTTTCTTTGAAGTTGGTCGAAAATAATAATTGAGCGACGAAACGTTCTGCCTATACAGTCTATACAGTATCTAGAAGCCTGTAGGCCCTGTACACAATCTAGAGGTTTTCAGCTGGCACTAAGAGAAAGAGCAGAATGAACTGGCTGGCGCATGATCACAAAGTCACACACACACACACACACACACACACACACACACACACACACACACGTACGTACACACTGACACAGCATTCCAAGCGCCAAACAACAGCCAGTGCAACGCAGTGCGGAAAAACAATACGGTCAGTTACGCTAGGAACGCTGCCTGCACGTCAAATCAACCGCTACTGTTACAAAAATAATGACATCCCGTCGCCTGGTTGGCATCACACAGAAGCCAAATCGCCTGGGCGCTGTGCCTTTGGCTTTCCCACCCATCATGATCTACTCGGTCTTTATTTTTATTTTTATCGAGGCACTTCCCCAGTCCCCAAACTCACTGCGACTCGACGTAATAATGATGGGTCTATCGCTAACAAAGACTGCGTGAAAGCCCGCCAGCAGTACGAGAAGGAAAAGCAGTTCCTAGCCGTTCGGTCGTTGTCGACGATCTAACGACCGCCGCGGGTGCTTTGGGTGAAACGAATCGCTAGGGAACTTGTGCTACGAACGAAGGAGCGGCGCTCAGAGGCAAGCAATCGCCTCGGGAAGACAACGAGTCAACCTTCAGCGCCCCTCGCGCAAACCCAGCTCGACAGCGAGTGCTCTCCTTCACTCGCATGATCGACAACAGGCAGAAGTGACAACGACGTCCTAACGTTCGCGGCGCAATCAACAGGAAGCACCAGCCATCACGGTGTGAATCGTCGTCACTCACACACGCCATAACGACCCTGTGCAGCGGACGTGCCAGCAGTAGTAGCGGACGTGCTAACGACACAACGCCTGCCCAGACCTGCGCGCACACAGCTCTTCTCGACCTGTACTGCTGTAGCTGTGCCGCAAACAAACACGTTTTTGCTCCGTCGAAGAGAAATACCAGCAGAATCAAGGTATCGCCAATCGGTCGTACACTGACGAGATATAGAGGCAGGAAAGATATTACAGTCTAGACTAGAGACGTCAGCCTGCAGCCGTTTGCAGTGAAAGCAAAGACCAGGGAAGTAGTTGAAGGCGAACGAATCGATATTTTGTGTAACTTGTTGATTTTGGATTAGCCGACCAAAATGGACAAAATAAAATTAAATATTATCCAATAACGATGGGGCAAACTCAACTCATCATCACTTCACACATTGGGAGTGCAGAGTTTCTGCCTCCACTCGAGGCTCGTCCAGTTGCAACATCACCCCCTCTCAAAGTAGGAGAGAGGCGACACACAGCAAGGTAGAAATACAATGTCACGTACATGACCGTATTTCGTTTCAACAAAACCCCTTGTTCCTGCCAAACCACCATTGTTCCGCGGTTCCTTCGACGATCCGCTCTCATGCACTAGCCTCGGATGGACTACAAGTACAAGTACATAAAATGCAGTACAGAAGATCCTGTACACGTTCATGTAAGTGTAACAGACACCATCAGTGCATCGTGATACCACGACGGAGACACGGCGATCTCTGGTCACCACATGCACAACACTACGAGTAGATCTCCGGTGCTCGGCGCTATGTTGAGTGAACTGCTATACTAACTGTATCGACAACAGCATCATCAATGCAGACCGCATCGAATCAACTATTTCATGCTCCGCCGAGTCCGTCAACCCTGCGTCGCCGTGTCCCCCATTCACCCAGGTCAGGACTGAGTCCTTTGCGGAACGACGCGGAGTGATAGCGCGAGCACCAAGCGGGTACTAGTAACACGTTGTTACTGTTGTAACTCAGTTTTGCTGTAACGATAAACAGATCATTCATGACCGGATAGTGGTGGTGGTCCATGGCATAGGCAGCACCAACCAAAGCCGGCAAAGGGCAACCACTGGGTAACAGGTAACTGGTTGTCTGACACAGGGGGCCACCACACAGACTGAGAGTCTAACGAGGTCGTTCCATTCCGTGCAAGGACGGCCCACATAACTAACGATACAACCATTGATAAAAATAAGAACCACACACACACAGCTCGCTCGAGGGGTCAGGGACTCGATCAGGGGAGGGACAGAAAATGCGAATGAAACCTCGCGATGGCCACTACCACAGACTCAGTGAATCATTTTCAGGAGACGCAGCATACAACTATTAAATACTTACAAGGACAAAAAGACTCAAAGACAGTGACCAAAGGGTACAGCGATGTGTGATTTTTCACATGTTCACTCGAAAAACACAACACTCAACAGCCAACACATCGCCACACGTGTACAATTATGTGCAGACGAGGTAACCAGGTAACACTGATGAGATCAGTGGCATGCAAGTCTTCAGTACAGTACAATGTCAATGTCACTGCGTAGTTTGAAAACCACATACGCTTGCATTGACAAACACACGCACAAAACGAAACAACGACAAGAAACATGACGAACCCACAACACAACCAGCAACAACCCCTGAAAAGACTAAAAGACAGCTCGCGCGCTCACACGCACAACACATGCACAGTCGCTGGCATGAATCGTTCCCAGACAACAAAGCAATCAACGCTCTCTCCTGACTCCTGGGTCCTGGATTATAACACAAAATTAATTATTTAGTATTTTAGCATTGATCAGTCAGAGCTTTGTCGAGCTCCATACAAACTCCAGCCATCTACAGCAGACCACAGGTTATAAGCAGCCAATAAAGGAACTGGCAAGTGCAAATACAGTGACCTCAAGTTCAAACCAGCCACGCACAAGCGACAAATGGGGACGCACACTCGACAAATGGGGACGCACATTCGACACGACCACAGTAAAATGTTTTGTTCGTCCTCCTGATGGACCTTGTGGGGCAAGTGAAGGACGAACACTGAACAGTTAGCACCATGAATGGCCTCACAAACACCACCACCCAACCGACGGATCACCAGAACAATAGCAATCGAAACTGAAGACAACCCTGCACAGGTCGGATCCAGGCAGTGCGGGATTCCAGGTCAGAAACGCGAAAAAGGGGAATGGACGAAAGAGGTTCACGAGATCTTTCCTCTTCCTCATCACCACCACACCGTCAGGGTGCAATGACACAACTCACGTGTACAACAATCATGTACATGAACATGCAACGCCGTGGCAGGAACATTTCACGCCAACAGAAAGCCAGTGCCAGTCCGAGCGAACTCAGTTCGACAAAATAGCAGCACAAGAACAAGCACATGCGGAGTGTGTGTCGCTAGCACGAAAATATCGGTCAAATAATTGCATTCCAATGATGAGCAAAAAAGGGGGAGAGAGAAACACACAAAGAACACAATCACCGTCATAATGTAATTACTCGCATGATGCGAGCGACTAAACTCGACGATCGTTGGGAAATGATCTCGTTGCGCACATCTGCGAAGGAGTGGTTTCCCTCTGACAGGACAACGCACAATCGATACTGCTAGCGTCTCGCCATGAGCCCAGAGATAGCGAGCAGCAGCAGCAGCAGCAGAGCTAGCTAGCGCGCAGCAATACAGTAATTATCCTGTCAAACTGATCACAACGGAGAGAACTGCTAATGTCTGAACGACATTCCATTTCTCGTAATTAGCCTCGTGGAAAATTCCCATCGCCAGCTAGCGAAACGTATGAGCACGCAAATCTAGACTGCATAGAGTCTTAGAGAGCCGGAATGCTTTCATACTGTAATGAAGTGGTAGGGGAGCGGGAGAGAGAGAGAGCGGGAGGGAAAGACGAAGACATCTCGGATCGAAAAATAGTTGCCGAACAGGAACCACTCACCCTACACGGGTACGACTACTTACTGCGCTACACAGCACTCAGCAGGCACGGCACACACAGTCCTCTCGCTCGCCGCGTTATTATTTCTGCGCCCATTGTTCTGATCTAGGGCAAAGTAAAACTACATCTTCTCCGTCAACGTGCAACGTGGGCATCATCGGGGGCACCATATGGTGGAATCGTTGTCACCGATGAGTTCCACCATAAAACACTACGACTTACATGCGCGCACGCACACCAAAGGTCGCATACAGATACGAGTACATTCGTAACATCACATGGAGCACGGGCACGGATTACAGACGAAACTCAACAACGATCTGCTACGAATTATTTCGGCTTTGCTGCAGCGGCCTCTCCAACAACGACCCCAGAAGTCCACCATCAGAAATTCAGAATACCGTTTTACGGCTAGGACACCACTATCACGCACGAGCACGACGGACCACACACCAAACGATCAAACACCCACTGCCCATACCACAAATAATTACCATCCTTCCTCATCATCATCAGGCAGTAAAGCATTACACCATTCACATCAGTCCTTACCTGACACTTGTCCCAGTCCGCTCGGTAGCAGCACGCAGGAGAGCGCTAGCAGCAACGACAAAGCGTTCCATGAGCGTGAGCAGCGCACCAACGCCGCTATTCCTCGGCTTGTCGATCTTCTACCTAACCCGGGATGACGATCCGTTCCCTCGCCAGCACCCTGCATCCCTCGCCACATTTGCTCACAACCTTGAGCATGCACACGGACAACCGCCTCCAGTGGCTCCACCAGCTTTCAGCGTGACGACAGACTCATCTCGACGAAGAAGATCTGAACAGGGAACAGTTTAGGAGTTTGGAGTGGCAGAACTGCAGCCAGTTGGAATCATTCACGGTGCTACTGACACAGAGGAAGACTTGCCAGAACTGTAGACCAGCGCGTGCTGCACGTCGAGTAGAGAGAGGACGGACTTCAAAACCAGCGAGCAGCAGCAGTGCCTACTCCGTGGCAGTGGCACTGGCACTCGACGCAGCAGTTGCAGCTGCGCTTTGTCCGCCCAGACTCAGAGCTGAGCTAGCTTCCTACTCCTGGTTTCAGTGGCCGCTACCACAAGGTCTTGTCGAAAAAAGAAGAAAAAAACTCGACACCGAATACACTGACACTGCACTGTACATGACTAGCTGGCGACTGGCGTAGACCTACTGAGTACGCGCCCGTGGCGTGAGGGCCGTGACACAGCTGAGCCGACATAACGAGTACTGAGTATGTGTGAACCAGGGAGTACTAAAAAACCGTTTTTTTAGTACTCCCTGGTGTGAACCCTGGACAAGGAAATCTACCACCTCGCCATGTACGTCCTGCTAGGCTACAGCTGTACCCATGGTACCTGTACTAGCCTGTAGTACAGTCATGTATACAGTCAATCATGTACAGGACTTACAGTTACACTTACAGGCTTTTGGCTTTATTTGTTGTATTGATGGTTCGGTGTTGTGGGTCTACCACCAGTGACAAGAGACAAGGACGGTACGACTATCTCTCCATCATCTACAGTAGAGACAGTTTCGCTTGCTCAGTTGTTCTAGTGGCACACTTGCCCGTGGCGTGTCGGACCTGACCGTACACGATGGTACACGCGCACACGCAAGTGCAAGCACATGTCTGCGTGTGTGTGGTACACGCGCAAATCGAAGTATGTACATGGCCCGTGGGTGACTCGAGTGCCGTGCCGGACCCCCAGGCGCTAAACTAAAGGCCTAACTACTGACTGTAGTGTAGATCTACCACACACGATCTGAGCATGCAGGGAGCTAGCTACGCTCAACTAATAAAAGCCACCCAGGTCAACGCAAGGCGGCAAGGCTCAGTCCTACTCCCAGAGTTACAGTGCTGGTAGCTGAAATCCGACCCCCTGAGCGGTGCGCTCACATCGCAAGGACCCGATATAGAGGCCGCTAGAAAGTGAACGCGCCGCCCAGGGGGTCGGATTTCAGTTGCCAGCACTGTACAATGTCATGTACGGTGTTCAATATGTAGTCATGCTGAAAATGGCCGAGTCAGTGTGACCTGGTGACTGGACATGTATGCATGTAATGGAATCATCGCATCCCCCTGCATGCACTGTACTCTGCAGGCATTGGCATTATTGGCATTGTATTGGTAACACAACCCTAAGCTAAGCGCCGCTGTGTGCGAAAGTGACACACAAGACTTGAAGGAACAAAATGTCCTTCGGGTGAGGTTTTCTTGAAGAATCTCTAGATCGACATGTAACGACGTTACGTAGTCGTGACATACATGTACATGATATACGTATAGTCTATAGATCTACCAGAGAGTCGTGAAAAAACCGGTATTTACGACTCCCTGGTGTGTACATGTACGAGTATTGTCTCTGATGCCATTACTAGTACTGGCATGATTAGTTCTGGTGAAAGGTATGAAGTGATCTCGGCCTTCCCGACACTGACACGACTACAGTGAAACCTGTGTAAGACGACCGCTCAGGGGACCTTCAAAATGTGGTCTCTGTTACCAGGTGGTGTCCTTATCCAGGGTTATTTGACTGGAAATAGCATCCCTTGATCCTAGTTTCAGTGGTCTTCTTGGACAGGTGGTCGCCTTATCCAAGTGGTCGCCTTGACAGGTTTTACTGTACACCTAGAACAGCATCACCAAAAATTAGCTCGTTTCTAATGTCCCCAGGGCCCCGCAGTCGTATCGAATTCTCGCCTCGTTATACACGTAACAACCAGGGAGTCGTAAAAGCCCTTTTACGACTCCCTCCTGCCTGCAGGCCTGGTAGATCTACGTGGTAACAACCACGATTTGTCCGCACATGAGCAGCCTTTCACTGCTTCAGGGCCTTTGCCCTTTGGCCCAGGCCAAAGCGTGACGCGGGCAGCGTGTCTTTGACGAACTTACGATCGCGCGTGATGATACTCAGTTTTGTGTGCCCGAGGCGCAGTAGCAGCTGTATCCTACACGGCTCGCGGGATCCGGGAGTAGCCAGCAGCAGCAGCAGCTGTGTGAAGGGGACATTCACGCCAGGATTTTATGATTGGCGATCCTCGAGGACTAGTCACACTCAGCTCCGACCTCCTTTCATGTCCTTGGCACAACATACAGCTTTCTCAGGGTGCATGTAGATCTGCAAGTACATTGTCCAACAGTAGTAGAGTCTACTTCGAAGAGAGAAAATGTACAAATACAGTAGTATACTGTATAAACATGCCGATAGGCGTCAGCCTTTGGGTAATCCTGAAATAAAGATTAAAAAGAATGTCTCAGTGGCCTATCAGTTTTGTGCCCTATTATCGGACGTTCTGACTGTTTTGTCATCTTGACTTGTTACAGGTGTGGATAGTTGCTGCATAACTCGTTCTCATGTGTTTCTTCTGCCCATTTTTCTGCCGGCATTATCCGCATATGCCTAATCAGCACTGACTGGTCCAGTTGGACTTTTGGCCTTGAATTCTTCATGGTTTCTCATCACTTGAAGTTCTGATACAATCAAGAGCAGGGAGTCGTACATGATGTATTATACGACTCCCTGATCAAGAGTATAATTAAACCCCCACCCCAATTGTAATACTCTTGACACAATGGTGATGAGAAACCATGCAGAACTTGAAAAACTCAAAACTGAGCAAACTGCACCATACATGTACATGCACTATTATTATTAGACACAATCTCATAGCATGTGACAAGCATATGCAGAGTTGGAAGACTTTTTACAGACTCCGTACACGTACATGTATGCCACACGTGTACGTGTACGGAGTCTGTAAAACCAAAGGGTAGCAAAATACAGTCAAACCTATTTTTAGGACGAACACCAAGAGACCAATGATATTTGCCGGGGAATTCTTCTTACTTATCCATGCTGTATACCAGGGAGTAATACAATACCGTATTGTACTACTAGTACTCCCTGCTGTATACATGGAGATGTTTAATTTTTTTTCAAACGTTTCTGCAAATAATAGCCATCAGCTGACAGCTGAAAGGATGCAATATTATTATTATGAAATGACCCAAAGGCGATGTGCCATTTGAAGTGGAAGTGTGCCAAGCTGCAAGGAGCAGTTATAATTATACACTATTTTATTGTCTATTTTTTGTATACATGTACCCAGTGATTGCATGTACACAACGATTTTAAACACAAAAGGAGGAAGGCAAGCGCTATTACAGCATTAGGAGTTTAGCACGTGAGATGAGAGGGGCCCCGGGTGGGACAGAAAGACAAGTCCACGACAGAAACAATGCAGGCATCGCTCAGCAATCCCCAAGAAGCCACGTGTTCACCAACTGAGATTGTCCAAGGTGAGGACGCACACGCTACAACGATAACCCGGTTGGCAGAGTTAAGGTTGTCGTCAGGAGCACCGTGCGTCCTCGCCTTGTGACATGATGTCGAAATCGAAAACATGTTGAACTATCAAGCAAGGCTTCTACATAATTATGGATAATCATGTACTACCGCGTATGCTTAGCACTGCAGCTGGTGCACGTGTAAACATTTACACAGCAACACTCTCATATCCCCCCCCCCCCCCAACACACACATGCAGACACAGACTTCCATAGACACGAACGTGCATTTACACACGCATGCACGCGCACACACGAACAAACTAGAGCTGTGTGTTATGGCCGAGTTGAGGTTCTTCCCAAATGGTGGCAACTTAAATATGTGCAAGGAGCGATCATCGAAAGTAAAGAAAAGTTGATGATACGTAAGACTACGAGCACATGACGGACGCTACGACCACCTAACGATGTGTTGCTGCTTGTGAGTAGAAAGTGTGATTAGCGCATGTGGCTGATCATCGAGCGGAAGCTCTTGTTAAGCTGGGCACACAAATACACAGGGAGAGAGAGAGAGAGAGAGAGAGAGAGAGAGAGAGAGAGAGAGATAGAGAGAGGTAGAGAGATAGAGAGGTAGAGAGACCGGGTTCGTTCACCTGTGCTTCTTGAACACACACAAGACTTTAGTGGCTTTGTCGGGTGCAGCAACAGTCATCCTTGGCAATGTGGCGTGGAATATTGACCAGTGTCGGTCAAAACTCCAGACAAAACTCAAAAGAAGATGGTAAGCCCACCAGTGGCCGCGTGCGACAAACCGGAGTGTCATATCAGCCGACTGTATTCATCTTTGTTTTTGGCACAGGGATATTCATCGCTCAGCTTGCGTTTGCCATGCTTCTACAAACATATCTGTAGCTGATCAATCCTCTTCAATTTCCATACCATTTTTGCTCAAATTCCGTACTGCGGACAAAGGAGTGATTTTCCGTACAGATATGGAAAAATACGGAAGGTTGGCAGCACTGAACCCCAGACAATGGGCACACTCGCTGGAGTGTCATATCAGCCGACTGTATTCATCTTTGTATGGTAGATAAGATCTCTCCCCCCCCCCCCGCATGTTGAATAGGTCACATGACCTATAGATCATAAACATCACAGATAACTGTACTATGTAGCGCATGGTGAACAGGTCACATGACCTAGAGATCATACACATAGACAACAGGTGAACAGGTCACATGACCTATAGATCATACACATAGACAACAGGTGAACAGGTCACATGACCTATAGATCATACACATAGACAACAGGTGAACAGGTCACATGACCTATAGATCATACACATAGACAACAGGTGAACAGGTCACATGACCTATAGATTATAGACATAGACAACAGGTGAACAGGTCACATGACCTATAGATTATAGAGACATAGACAACACAGGGGCACGCACTCACCTCGGCAACCTTGGCCGTCTCCCTGACAAAGTACTCGCCGTACGGCCGCGCTACAGACGTGTCTGTGATGTGGATCATTTCCTGAACACACGTTTGAGCGTGAGCGTGCGTGTGTGTGTGTGTGTGTGTGCAAGCCATACACACAAACATACAAACAACATTACACATACAGATAAAGTTCCAATTTTGCTTGAAAATCTTACAAGTAGGGAAAGTAAGCATGCATGAAACGAATCTCTACATTATCCAGTCCTCACCAGTTGCCAGCGTGCGCAACCTCTCCATGGAGAGAATCAGCCTCAACAGAATGAATTGCATACGCCATGACAACAAGAAGAGGCTATTTGCTAGCACATTTTTAAATAATGTAAAACATGCCATTTTAGGTGCATCAACATTTCGGTGCCAGGGACCTGCCAGGTTTCAGGTGTAATTTAGAATTAGGTGACCAGCATTCCCTTCTCATACAGAGTATACTCTAGTGCCTTTTAGGTGCATCAAAATTTCGGTGTCAGGGACCTGCCAGGTTTCAGGTGTAATTTAGAATTAGGTGACCAGCATTCCCTTCACATACAGAGTATACTCTGGTGACTTTTGATGTAGCCGATCAGTTCGTTGTGGTATGGTTGGGCATTGTAGCCGTCATGGTCGACGTAAAATACTACAGCCAATCAATGGAAAAATCATTTCCATCAGCTCTAATGGCATGCATGATGAGCTAGGCAAAAAAGCATAGCGTAGGGCCCTGAGCTTCCAAGCTCTCCCGTATTTAGGTGCCTGGTTTCTCTACCGAAATCACCGGAATTAAAGTCCCACTGAAAATCACATGTTTTACAATATACACTCTCGTCCCTCTTATGCGGGTGGTCCGAGACCAGGCACTGGTAGTAACTTGGACATGTCCCTAACTCTGAATCATGATGAACATTTCCACAAGAGAACGGCCGGAGATCTGCGAGTACTACAGTTGCGCTCGGTGAATTCCGGCCCGAAGTGCATAGCCGGCGCCGCGAAGCCAGCTCCCATTACATCACTGGCGATTTGTGTGTATGAACTCAACTGTACGCACCTCGTGTAAAAGTTTGGAGTGCACGTGTTGCATGCTAAAAACAGTTCAAAATTTCTTTCATTCACTTCACGAAGTACAGCTCAAGGAAGAGATAGAGAAAAAGGACATGGCCATTCCCAAAATCCCGTACAGAGTCCACAATGCAGACAGCACAGCAAACAAAGGACACACAAACATGCTCCGCAATCCCGTTTCGCGAGCAGTGAGAAGATATCTGAGGTTCTGGACACGGAGCAACCTGGTGGGGAAATGGCAGCCCCCAGCACGGTTCGCAGAAGCCTCAGACGGAATAATTACAGGTTCGGGCGGTCGGTGCGTAAGTTTGTTCTGAAAGAAGCAGCAAAGAACAGCCGGCTAGTATGGGGAATTGAGCATCGCCAGTTTGACTTTGACCGCGTTGTTTTTGCAGACGAGGCATGCTTTGCCTTGGGTCCTGACGGACGTGTTATGTCCTGGTACCAGCGGGACGACAAGCCAATAGTCGAGGTGCCACACTATCCAGCAAAGGTGCACGTTCTCGGGGCCATTTCACTTTTCGGAACCGTTGGGTATTTGTCCTTTGCTCCGACGTGGAATGCAGCAACGTTCGCCCAAGGAATGGCAGCCGACATTGAACCGAGTGGCATCGGATTCTTCGCAAACGACTGGTCCTTGCAGCTCGACAATGCTACCTCCCACACGTCAGCTCAAGCACAGCAGGATCTTCTCGATAGCGGAGTGCCCAACATCCTGTTTCAACCTCCCTGCTCGCCGGACATGAATCCAATCGAGAATGTGTCGGCTCTTCTCAAGAAGAGAATAATTGCACATCGCTGCGAGAATGCTGACCAGCTGGTGCAGGCACTGCACCTGGAGTGGGACTCGTTGGCTCCTGACACGGTTTCCCCACACGTGGAGTCAATGCCACGTCGTGTTGAAGCCCTAATCGAAGCAGACGGTGGCCACACAAAATATTGAAGCCCTGCTGCTCTGTGTATGAAATAAACTGCTTCGAAACGATCTCCGTCTTCTTTACTTGTGCTGAACTGAAATGAATGTTACACTTGTCTTTGTTTGGCGCGGTTTTTTACACTTTGGTGTAAGCATGCATGCGTATGCGTACAGCACATGCACAGTTCATACGGCACACGTGCACACTAGCACCTGTACAACTTTGAGGGCATCAAGGGCCGCATCAGTACTGGGCGCCAGTTACGCTCTTCGGGCCGGATTTCACCGAGCGCCACTGTAGTAGTAGGGGAGTCCCAACAGGCATGGCCTTGTTACAGGCAACCCTAGGTGAATCTTGGCGAGGTGAGCAAAAGTACCAGCAGATTGTGCCCGACGACAGTTTGGAGGAAGAGCGTTCCACCGACCTGCCGCCAGAAAAGAAACTGAGCGCAGTCCATAATGACACTAGACACCCTTAGCAAACAACGTTATGTTGCAACGGTATTACCGTAAGGGGGAAAATACCGTTCTTTGGGTTCGACCTAGGGCTCAAACGATTAGTCCGATTAACCGGTTGCAGACCGGTTACGAAGAATTAACGGTTAACCGATAAAGATAACGGTTACGCAGTAACTTTTCAGTCAATTTTTCAAGTATCAGGTCGTTGCAAAGTGTGCACTTTCGCGGGCTGTCGCGCGCGTACGCAATTTCTGGGCTGTCAACTCGGTCATATCTGGTCTCTTGGTGTGAGAGTATGTATGAATGAGCATGCAAGAGAATGCACACGTGTGCGTTGTACTGAATAGGGTACATTTTTTGAATGAGTATAGTCAAATATACGGTTAAAAAAGAGTCCGCAGGATTGCCGTGGCTTATAGGTTATAACCGGTTAACCGACCGTTAGCTTAGCAGTTAACCGTCAGGGGTAAAACCGTGACCGTTTGAGCCCTAGTTCGACCTTTAGCAAGATGCACGCTAATTTTAGTACACTGTTGCCGCGAGAATAGCTTTTACGCGCGGTACAACCATTTATGTCACCATGTACGCGATACAAAGTGAAATGCGTACGGACTATGCAATATTTGGCCAAAAAACGTACCGTTGGTCACAACGATAAATCAGCCCCCATAACGTTTTTACGCTGCAGCTTCAACGCTATGTGGGTGATCAAGGTACGAGTACCGTAAAAAATAGCGTTACCGTTGTTTGCTAAGGGTGTTTACTGCTTCCACAAAACTGGCAAAGGAGTAGTAACATTCCCACTTAAACTTGCCAGCAGGGTGCACGGTAGACCGAGGTGCCCGTAAATTGGAGGTCCAGATAAGAGAGATACGCGGGTGTACATGGTGCACGTTTTCTTGGGGGGACATCGGGTAGAGGAAACGATACGCCATGGAATTTCTTGCAGTTTTCCACTCTACTCTAGTCGAGTATTAATTTTTTCTTTTCATGGGATCTCTTTTTTTTCTCGCATTCATAGACTTTATCCTACCCGTAAAAGAGGCCGTTACCCCGTAAAAGGGGCTGTTACCCCGTAAAAAAACACCATGGACATTGGACTTACGCCTTCGATGAAGAAGTCTGTTCCGGCCACGGACTTCAGCTCACCGCCGAGCAGAGGTCCGCTGGTCCAGACTGGCGTGTACATCTTGTGCTTGTAGCGCAGCAAGTGTGTTCGGAACTCCTCAACATCCTGCACATGCACACACACACATACACACACACGCACACGTGCACACCCACCCACACACACACATATACACACTTATATACACACACACACACACAAACACACACAAACACACACACAAACACACATACACACACACACACACACACACACACACACAGGCAGAGATACACAGAGAGCCCATAGAGTGAGTTCTGTCACAATTACGAACCAAATTCTCTTTCTCCAATATGCCAATGTACAAAATACAAATGAGCTCATGTGTGCATGCCTGTATAAATGCAGTACTTCACAAATTATTCTGCTTCTAGAATATTGACCCTGAAAACATAAGCCGTTCTCCGATACATCTCCTCTGACAACGCAACACTCTGACTCACCAAGTCCATGAACGCAGCCATCTTGGCGATCGGCATACTCGTGTACAATTGCAGGTAGCTACACAGACACACGCACGAGAGAGAAAGAAGTAGTTTGTCTTACTTGTTTGATTCTATTTCACTTCACCAGATATACATGCATCTCTGCTTTCTTCTCTAACCGTATGGCCAGGCTCTCTCAGAAGAGAGGCAGAGAGAGAGAGAGAGAGGCAGAGAGAGAGAGAGAGAGGCAGAGAGAGAGAGAGAGAGAGAGAGAGAGAGAGAGCGCGAGAGAGAGAGAGAGAGAGAGAGAGAGAGAGAGAGCGCGAGAGAGAGAGAGAGAGAGAGAGAGAGAGAGAGAGAGAGAGAGAGAGAGAGAGAGAGAGAGAGAGAGAGAGAGAGACGGACAGATAGATAGATAGAGAGAAAGAGTGAGAGAGAGAGAGGCAGACACAGAGAGAGAGAGAGAGAGAGAGAGAGAGAGAGAGAGAGAGAGAGAGAGAGAGAGAGAGAGAGAGAGAGAGAGAGAGAGAGAGAGAGAGACGGACAGATAGAGAGAAAGAGTGAGAGAGAGAGAGAGAGAGAGGCAGACAGAGAGAGAGAGAGAGAGAGAGAGAGAGAGAGAGAGAGAGAGAGAGAGAGAGAGAGAGAGAGAGAGAGAGAGAGAGAGAGAGAGAGAGAGAGAGAGAGAGAGAGAGAGAGAGAGAGAGAGAGAGAGAGAGAGAGAGAGAGAGAGAGAGAGAGAGAGAGAGAGAGAGAGAGAGAGAGAGAGGCAGACAGAGAGAGAGGCAGACAGAGAGAGAGAGAGAGAGAGAGAGAGAGAGAGAGAGAGAGAGAGAGAGAGAGAGAGAGAGTGAGAGAGAGGCAGACAGAGATAGACAGAGAGAGAGAGAGTGCATCTCAAAACAGACACACTGGCATGCAACACAGGCCCAGATAGCTAGTAGATACAAAATACAGCACAATCTTTCTTTTACAAGAAAAGTGGATTTAAAAGAAGAAGAAACATCCCAGAATTCTTCAAATATACAGTTGCTAGGGCCCCACGTTTTCCTGGTTTGGTTTTCCCCTTCCACTATCTTCCACTTCTACAGCGTAGCCCAGTGCAAGTGGTGGTTTGCGAAATCCAAAGACGATCTCCACTTTTTTCTCTAACCGTATGGCCAGACTCTCTCAAAGGAGAAAGAGAGAGAAACCGGGTTCGTTCGAAAGAGGACCCACCTGCGAATGACCGGAATGAGGCCCTGCTGCCGGACTTCCGACAGGAAGATCTTGTTCTGAGCGTTGAAGGCGTCCATGTGGGAGTCCTGACCAGCATCCAACGGCGGCGGAACAGGCGAAAGGAACTTGGGACAGGCGAAGGAGAACATGTCGGTGAACGTCTTCTCATCTCTGAACAAACAAACAAACAATACAAACGACAAACAGAAACCAAGTTCTGCTGATAAGTATCCATCTACATCACTCCAGGAATCTCCCCTGATATGTACTAGTACCCCATACTGTAAAACATGTAATTTTAGGTGCACTAAAATTTCGGTTTCAGGTGTAATGCAGAATTAGGTGACCAGCGTTCCCTTCACATACAGTGCATACTCCAGTGCCTTTTAGGTGTAATTTAAATTTAGGTGCCTGGTTTCTCCACCGAAGGTACCGAAATTAAAGTTATACCAAAATTAATGTGTTATACAGTATATGCACGAGAGACGGTGGGTTCGACATCCACAAGGACGTGGCGCGGGCGTATTGTGTGGCGTAATGAAGGCTGCTAGCACGCCGCCCAGTGGCTCATACGCAAGTTAGTTGCATGCTTCTGCCGGAAAGAAAAAAACTTCGCGACTTTGCGATCGACCTGCCAGTGCCAGTGAATCGAGCGACCGCAACTCCGAGTGAGACTCACTGGGTATTTATTCCCAATACGGTAATACCGTTGCAAAGTAACTTTTTTTTGCTAAGGGCGTCTACCGGTATTCGTCAATGGAATCCCGTGACCGAAAGAAAAATACTATTGCTGCTTTGGTGTGTGATACGAGCACGGGGTTCATTTTGTTCACAGCTATCTTATGGTTGTCATCTCCACATCGACTGATAGAGAGGTTCCGCATAACGTAATTAAGTTAGTAAAAAACGCAGTCGATCTACGGAAAATGTTACGTAAACTGCATGCGGATCTGTGTTCCGCCATACGGAGTTTTCAAATCACGTAGCTGCCCTTGGCAACTGTAAACCAAATGCGGCAGTGTACAACCGGATCGATCTGGGGAGAGAGTCATAAATTCGTACCCCAATCCACTTTCGGACCAGCTACGTTATCAGAGCTCTCGTCAGGCGAAATAGCACGTCATAGTACATTCGAGATCAGCGGGAAGAAGATGACGACGTCCACTAATTTAGTATCTATGCACACGAATCTGCTGTGTGTGTTACTCTATGTGTCAGCTATGGCATCATCGCCTGTGGTTCCATATCTAGCATGTACGTCTGAACCATCCTGCAAAGTTTGAATGACGTAGGTTGAGCGATCGCTCCGCGAAACATACTTTTTGAAATTCTCTTCATAGTATATCTTCCACCAATGAAATTTCGAATTTCTTCGAATTTTTTGCTGAGAGGGGTGGCTTGCAACCTCGATATGGCTTGTTCCAGGCATGCTTTGGAGCCATCGCCTGTTGAAGTAGTGGCGGGGATCTGCCCTGCAACTGCTACAACAAAAAATGATTCGATCTGAGAAAGGGTGAGACCGCGAATCTCGGTTGAATATTGAGTATTTCAAGCCTTTTCACGACGAAGATGGAGTACTTTTTGGAGATGGACGTCGCGGCAAAGGACATGGTGTCCGACTTCTGGCATCTGGTGAAGCCAGGGATCATTTGTCCAGTCAGGTCGGCAGCCTAACCGTCAGTAAGCTTGTGTTTGGATCCCGTTCTGCTCGATGTGGTAGATCACAAACAATTTGATATCGCACAAATTGATCTCAGCATCGTGCGTACGGTATTTTATACTCAGAAAATCCCAAAGTGTCTCTGTGTGGGCGTCCTATGCCACGAGAAACTCCAATCAGGCTCCTATGTCCTCTGCCTTCATGATTGAATGTCCACTTCGTTTGAACAACGAACACAACAATCGAGGACGGCTTTGCAATGAAAAATACAGCTATACTGGAGCTGAAAAAAGGAAGAAAAAAACGTGCTCAGGATGAGACTCGAGTACACGCATACTCTCCCAGCAGGTGAAACGCAAATTTTTGTGAAAAATGCGTGTCGCCGATTGACCAGTAATTTCGCCTGACGATCTACGTACTCTACGTAGACAACTTTCCGTAAGTGGAGTGCAAACTCGCGAATTCACGGGTTTTTCCCGCCCACTAACGTAAAGCTGCTAAACTTTACGTAGTGCGGAACCTCTCTGTTCACATAATTATTTTGAAACAAATTTTTTGAGCAAAGTAACTTCTAAAGATGTGAATAAAAGGGCCAGTATCGTTTTTGTTTCCGGAGATAGAAGAATCAGTACTGTTGGACTGGGTATGCGCAGTGGATGGTTCGACTTACCCGGCTGTCAGCCTGTGCATGCGCTCACCGCACTTGTCTCTCATTGAAGAGTTGACGCTCTCATCCACACTCTGTAAACACAAACACACACACACACACACACACACACACACAGCCGCCACACACACACACACGCACAGCCGCCACACACACACACACAAACAGCAGCCACAACAGCTAAATGATCAGGGCCACGACACCAACGGCAATAACAACAGCCTTGAACACGGCCAAACTCGACATCTACCAGGACAGTGAAACCTGTCTAAGCAGACCGCTCATGGGACCTTCAAAACGTGGTCTCCTTATCCAGGGTCATTCGACTGGAAATGGCATCTCTTGATTCTGGTTTCTGTGGTCTTTTGCGGCAGGTGGCCGCCTTATCCGAGCCTTGACAGGGTTTACTGTACATTCACTACCACCAGCAGCAGCAGCAGCAGCAGCAGCAGCAGCAGCAGCAGCAGCATAAGCACCGACGGGAGTTAGAAGGGCGACATGCCCTACAGTCACATTCGTACACGTACATGCACTCAGCACAGGGGGAAGTGCAGTGTGCACGGGAGCCAGTGCACGCTATGCCAACTCACCATGGGGCAAAACGTCAGTGAGATCGCCAACAAATGGTACATCTTCTCCGTCTGCTTCACCATCTGCATTGGCACAACCAAACACAACACACACGTGTACGCACACCCATGCACACACCCATGCACACACACACACACCCATGCACACACCCATGCACACACCCATGCACACACCCATGCACACACCCATGCACACACACACACACACACACACACACAGACATACAGACGCACACACGCAAGCATGCACACACACACACACACACACACACACACACACACACACACACACACACACAGCATACACAGCATACACACACACACACACCCATGCACACACACACATACACGTACAAATTCATGTAATACTCTGTATGTCTACCATGATCTACCCAGTGTGTAAAGAAAGGGGGGCATCGTGGTGTTACCATGGAAACATTACCCGATCGGGTACCCGTGCTACCCGTGGAAAACTACCCGAAGAAAATGCTACCCGGCTCAGCCCCAAAATGAACATTCTGGACAGCTGAAGCTGCATAGCCATGGTGTGTGTTCACACATCAAAAGGATACCCCATGGCTACAACTGTATTTTGCCGCTCCATTAGAATGAGATGTTCATCATGTGCATCTATACTTCCGTATGGACTGACTTGTAAAAGGTTTCCTCGGTGACAAAAACACAGCTATGACACTCCATTTCACAATGTTGTTGAAGAGCCTGAAGTTTGTCCTGCTACCGAGTGCTATGCACTGGCTTGTAGGTAGCGTTACACAAAGGCAACATTCATGGTGCCTGCTGCACACAAATACATGTATACCCCACCACACACACACACACAGAAGAAGAGGAAGAGATTCATCCTCATACCTGATCGTACTGGTAGGACTTGGGAATAAGCAGCTTTGTTCGCTGAAGATATAGCAGTATACTGCAGAAGGTACGAATAGCATCCTGCAGAGGAGAGTGAGAGAGGGAGAGAGAGAGTGAGAGAGACAGACAGACACACACACACACAGATAGAGTCAGAATCATACAGTTCATGTATCACAACCCAGTAGCTTACGAGGCTGCATCTGAATGATGGACAGTAAAAACAACAAACTTCATGTTCCGTTTCCACCGCTGATCTTATCAACAACAACAAAAACTACTAGTGAGGAAACAAAGCTGGTGTTAGGTTTCAGTTATTTTCTGGTAATCTAAACAGATCCTAGGATACTGCAAGTAGGCAGTAAGTGTGTGCGCGTGTGTGTGTGTGTGTGTGTGCGTGTGTGTGCGTGCATGCACAGCTTACTGTGTAGCGGCGCATCATCAAGTAAGCGAAGCCGACGTAGTAGAAGAGGGTCACTCGACACGTGGGCACGTTGGCAAATGTAGACTGTACACGTACAAAAAGGGACATACACGTACAAAAAGGGACATACACGTACAAAAAGGGACACGCACGTGCACAAACGCGCACACACATAACAACACGAATCAAGCCATTAGTGCATCGATTGGATATAAAAAAATCTGCCTGAATTGGTGTTGTGGGTGCGTGTTTGCGAAATTAGAATGTTGAGGTAATTGGAAGCCCCCCCCCCCCCCCCCCGCAATAAGGGGTTCAAGTAGTTACAGTCGACTCCTGATATAATGCACACCATTGTGCAGGAGAAAAATATTAGTTCTTTATAGCCGAAGTTCGTTATAACAGAAATGCACTCACACTATACAAGCAACACATCATGACTGGCATGTGGCCCATGACTGTATGGCTGCACTTGCGACCCAACAAGAAATAGTTTGTTATGGACGAAAACAGTTTCAAAGGGTCAATTTTGTATGTGTTGACACAGGAACATGGACAATGGTTCGCTATATCACCAAATCCGCTAGATACAAGAGAGAAGAGACAACAAGTTCGTCATAAGTGGAGTTGACTGTATCAGTATTCCACCTGTATTATGTGGGTTTTGTTACGAGAAACCTTTTTTTGGTGTGTGGGAAAGGAGTGGAGTCAGAGAGGAAGACGATTGCCTCAGCAAAGTAGGCGAGGACACTGAGAGGACATGGGATCGTAGACCAGCTCAGCATTCAGTCTGGAACTAATGTTTCTATGCTGCTCTCACCTAACCAAACTAACAAAGCAAAGTTCTAACCTACCGGTAAGTGCATACTGGTATAATACATTGATTACTGCACCTCACGAATTAAATTTGAGAAAAGAGATAGAGAGAGAGAGACAGACAGCCCCCCCCCCCCCCCCCCCCCCCCCACACACACACAAACACAGAGTTAGGTATGCAAACACGCAAAGACCCACCCACACACGCACACCCACCCACCGACCCACACCCACCACCTCACCTTCTTGTTGAGGTCGACGCGGTCGAGCACCTTGAGTGCCTGTCGATAGTCGCCGAGCAGACAGTGCAGCCGACAAAGGCCAATCAGACTGTAGTAACCAAGGTTACGGTAGAGCGAGTCACCGCCATAAGTACCAGCAACCTTCTCTGGGTCTTGGCAGGAGTTGATGGCCTCAAGCTGGCCAGAGACAACAAAACAAGAAAGCAGAACAAAAAGACAACAATCGATTCACAGATCTATGAAAACACATAGCGTAATGCTGCGTAACGTATTACCAAGAGTACATAACCCCCCAGAGTGTGCGATTCCCACATACCCTGCTGTCCCGACAGAATTTCAAGTCGACGTCATTATTTATGATGCAATGCTCCTTGCACCAATGATTTTACAACATGTGTACGGGTGTCAACGCATCACACGTTTTTCTTTGCAATAATGTGTATAGGATCAGATGGGCTTTGTTGGTCCACCACAGGTTCCAGATTCGTCTGATAATCCATGTACTCTTGGTATTACGGTATGAGGTGTTCGCACAGTACAGCCTGTCAAGGTGACCACCTGCCCAGAACCCCAGTACAACTGGACCAAAGGATGTTATCCACATTCAAGTGACCCGGTTAAGGAGATCACCTGGACACAGCGACCACATCTTGAGGGTCGCGTGAGCAGCCGCGTTAGACAGGGTTCACTGTACAGCAAAACCTGTCAAGGCGACGGCTCGGATAAGGCGACCATCTGTCCCAGAGAATAGCTACAACCAGGACCCAGGGGTGTAATTTCCAAGTTTCCAGCCAATAGGCCCAGGACAAGCAGACCACATGCTCAAGGGGACCCCATTCGGAAGGTCTCTTGAGCGGTCGCCTTTGACAGGTTTTACTGTATATGTGAAGACAGGAAACAGGACAAGATTACAGTACTGTCGGTCGCCGAAGAACTGGGGGTCAGCCTCCTAGCCTAGACAGTTCTTATTTTCATGTATTACAGTCTATGCACAGTTGAGTTACCGTGTATACATCGGTATGCTGTGCTTGGTGAAATTCTAGCCTGGCCGTTCTTCGGCGCTCCGACAGAACTGTATGTTGACTTGTTGGATTTCCTGACTAGCACTAGCACTCACCTGTGGGTTGATGTTGGACTTCTCCACCAGAGAGTGCAGAACGTTCAGGACACTGTGAACATTCCATACCTGCCATGGAGAGAGAGAGAGAGAGACAGAGAGAGAGAGAGAGAGAGAGAGAGAGAGAGAGAGAGAGAGACAGAGAGAGAGAGAGAGAGAGAGAGAGATAGAGAGAGAGAGAGAGAGAGAGAGAGATAGAGAGAAAGAGAGGGAGAGAGAGAGAGAGAGAGAGAGAGAGAGAGAGAGAGAGAGAGAGGAGAGAGAGAGAGAGAGAGAGAGAGAGAGATAGAGAGAGAGAAAGAGAGGGAGAGAGAGAGAGAGAGAGAGAGAGAGAGAGAGAGAGAGAGAGAGAGAGAGAGAGAGAGAGAGAGATAGAGAGAAAGAGAGAGAGAGAGAGAGAGAGAGAGAGAGAGAGAGAGAGGAGAGAGAGAGAGAGAGAGAAAAGAGACACACACACACACACACACAGAGCTTGTAGAACATACATGTAGCACAAAAGGCAGCGCAAGACAGCTTGCAAAACCGACTTCTTGCAGCCCAGTGAATAGTGAATACCTATTTTCTTCTCTCTGCTGTTCACACAAGCCGACACCCCACCAACACACCCTCCTACATGCAGACGCCCGCATGCACACCCACACACCCCCACCCCACACCCACATGTCCCCCACACACTCTCTCCCACACACCAACACGCACCCCCACACCCACTGTCACATGTGTCACACATGGACTGCATACCACCAGGACAACAAGCCGTAGCAGTCGGTGCTACCCTGACCTTACCTGTTGGTGATTACGTAGGTAGTCAATCTCTTCTGTTGACCTCTTGCTCAGCTTGGAGCGGTACTGTGTGAACGACTGGAACTGTGCGCACATAATGAAGAAATAAACACACACACAAACACACACATTTGCACTTGTCCTTGCTCACTGCCAAGAACTGGTCTCCCCAGGAGAGGGGAGAGAGACTCAAAAGGAATCTTGGAAAGACAAACACACACACACACACACACACACACACCTCAGACCTCAGACATGCCCATCGCGGGAGCGATGATAGCGAACAGCTATGTTTTAGACATAGCAACTTGTGCTGGGATTACACCATTCAACAGCTTGCAAGGCTGATGAATTGACCGCCACTATTTTTAGCCTGGTATCCACCACACAGCTGTTTGAAGTGACTTTTTCTGGCCAGCGAATCCCTATTTTTCATTTTTCCATTTTTTTTCTTTTTTTTCTTCTTTTTTTTCTTTTTTTCTTTTTCTACACACACACCACACCACATACTCCGGCATACACTGGCTGTTGGTAACCACCCAGGAGAATGAAAGAAAAGTCAGGAAGAGTCTGAGAAAGAGAAGAAAGACGTGTGTGACCATAATCGTCGGGAATCGAACCCGCAACCTATCGATTGGAAATCGCTGCACATACCACTGCACCATATGGGACACACACACACACACACACACACACACACACACACACACACACACACACACACACACACGCGCACACACACACACACACACACACACACACACACACACACACACACACACACAACACAAGACAACCAGCCAGTCAGCCATACACACACACAAGCGCAGCAGCTGTAATCAGTGTAGCATATGATTATCTTCTGGCAATGCACTGCGCTGATAGCGCCCCCTCTCTAAACCATTCGCCACAGAATGGCTTGGTTGAAGCTGCTTCACCACCTATCCAAGCAAGCAAACACAACGGACGTGTGCACCCCTAAGCTTGATAGGTAGCACCATGATCTGCCTCAACCGGACGCCCTTCCTTGGTGCATCGGCAACTGTCCTGAAAAGGACCCTGCTTGATCCAGGGATGCATGTAAGATCCACCGGACTTTGGTATGTAAAAAAATGTGTCCAGTCAATGCCGGATTCCGCTTGGTACAGGGACGGCAAACACAGGTTTTACTGTGCTCTGCATTGGTGTGTTAGGGCACTAAATGAACCGTCAGCTAATTGTCAAGAAAAACTGAACCAAATTTGCGTGCACGTGTACAATTGTGCTTGGTGAAATCCGACCCAGAGTGCATAATTCGCGTCTTCAACTTGCACACCGCTTGACGCAATGGAAGTGGCACGAATGCGGCTGGACGTGCACAAGTGCAAATATAGTGATGTGATCGGAACTGGTACAGGGTGCCAGCTCTTCGGGTTGGATTTCACCGAGCACACATGTACAGTCAACTTTGCTAATAACGGCACTTCGCTAATAACGACAGAATGTCCATGCCCAAAGCAAAGTCTCGTCTAACTGCAATACATATAATGAGACATCGGGTATAAGGACACTTTTCTGATGCCCCGCCGGAGGTCGTCACGCAAAGTTGACTGTACACGAAAGTCAGAACTGAGGACACACTGTTTCTTGGCAAGCTCATGTGGTCGACGGAATGGGAACAGTGCGTCCGTGGCCGAGAAGGGCACACCAGTTCTGTCCCAGAGGGATAGCTAACCTGGTAGATGAACTCATCGACAATGTCCCAGAGCCACTGTGTGGGCAGCGACAAGTTGAGCGGATCGTCATCACCTGTGCAGGGCAACAAGGACAAGAACAAGAGCAAAGAAGAAGATCATAGATGTGAGCAAGACAGCATAAGCAAGAGCATGTACAGTATGTAACTGGGGAGGTGGGTGAAGGTGCAGTGCCATAGCAACATAACTGACCTGTATCACACCCTCCAACCCTGTATAAACAAGAGTACGGAATTGCGGTTATGGGCCGGAGCTGTGGTTATGGGCGAGCGCGTAAATTGCTTGCATGATACCCTGTACCATCTATAAACAAGAGGGTGGCGCAACTGTGGCAATGGGTGAGCGAGCAGCGTACTGCCTTTGTTAAGTACCTAGTCAGCATCACACCCTGTACTCATGTACTCAAACCCGCAATTTATAATACCAGCACATCTGTTTTTGCTAGATTCGTTCCATAACTGACGCAATCTCCAAATCGTCAGTTCATGATATTCAGTTCCATTCAAAAGTTAATTTCATTTTAAGGGAGAGAGAGAGAGAGAGAGAGAGAGAGAGAGAGAGAGAGAGAGAGAGAGAGAGAGAGAGAGAGAGAGAGTCAGAGAAAGGGAGAGAGAGAGAGAGAGAGAGAGAGAGAGAGAGAGAGAGAGAGAGAGAGAGAGAGAGAGAGAGAGAGAGAGAGAGAGAGATAGAGAGATAGATAGAGAGAGCGACGGAGACAGACAGACAGATAGAGAGAGAGGGGGGGGGGGGGGGGGGGAAGAGAAAGAGAGTCAGAGAGAGGTCCTTACTGAGAATGTGGTTAAAGAGGTCACAGTAGTTGTAGTAGGACTGACAGCGATGGTACACATCCGGCTGTGAGAATAGTAGCAAAAGCAACAACAGTAGCAGCATCAGCAAAAATGCAAACAACACATTACAAGCTCCACCGGTGAAGCGCTCTCAGCCACGCCAGGTGTGCTGCCCACACATGCATGCGGGCACCCCCCCCCCCCCCACACACACACAAACATACAAACACATGCACGCTCACAAACACCTCCGCCTCCCTCACAAACACACATACCCCCCCCCCCCCCCCCCCCCCCAGCACACACACACACACGCAGGCGCACATACACCAGGACAAAGGAGTTAGATTACGGGGCTGTCACCTACCTGCAGGCGGGCGTAGATGTGACGGAAGAACAGCTCGCGATACAGAATCAAGAAGAGAGGATCTGGACAAGGAAAAACCAATGGACAGCACACGAAAACATTATCGTAATGTCGCGTATAAAAGCTATGCTGATTCCTGTAAAAGCCAATGTCAAGGCTAGGCTTCTATTCAAGTCAGGCTTGTATTCAAACCAGGTATTTTTAACCTTTTGAGCACGACGCTACCTGAATGCCGCCCCACGTCAACACCTGCAAAAATCGCGTTTTTCCTATGAAAGTAGTAGCTGTTCAAGGATCGATAACTTTACCTTTCTTTGGACGAATTCCACGATCTTGAGCTTCCTGCAAAGGTCTTGAGGCGAGGAACAAAATAGTTCCAAGTTCAGCTCGGAGCGACACCAAAAGCCCATGCTACAGTCTGGCAAACTTCACGCACGCGCTCGACAGACTTGAGCACGGCCAGGAGATCAAATCCTCAGCTGCCATTTCACTCTCCTTGCTCGTATCGAGCTCAAATTTTTTTTTGAGGGACTCCCCAGATCCGCTGCCATCATTTGAATCTAGTTTCCATGGCAGCAGATAGCGCGAAAAATGATCGAAAGTGGAAAATACGCGTTCTGCAGAGTTCGCAAAAAAATCGATTTGAATTTGCCGTGTCGAGTCGCATATCTCAACAACCCGGGGTCGTATCGCTTCGGCGATTGTTTCTATCGCAAGCTGAGAGTTTTCTCTTGCAGATACATATTTCGATCGTGAGAATCGGCCAAGAATTGACCGAGTTACGATAGTTTGAACTCACGCGGTTCATGCAAATCGCGTTTGTACGCTATGTACACTCACGACGTAATAATACGTCATGCGTGGGTGCAGTGACACTGTACGTGACGTATTAATACGTCATGCGTGCTCAAAGGTTAAGTATGTCAACACTAAAACCATCAAGTAGACTACTTGATGTACCAGCCTGCTATGCCGGATACCGCCAGCCCTGCATCGACCAGGCGCCAACTGATGGTGGTGGTGGTGAGAAGGAGAGCTCTGTGCCAGAACTTCGCAGCCTAGAGAGCGTGTGTGGGCAGGCGTGTGTTTACCGCCATATTGCCAGGTGTGTCTTTACCACCATATTTATCAACACTAAAACCAGGCTTATGTGCAGACAGACAGTGCATCTCGAAAATCAAGTTTGTAGTCAAAATAGGATTCTATACGAGACAGGCTTTTATACAAGACACTACAGTTGGTTAAACTCAGAGGAAAAGAGTCACAAACACTCATACAAAGATCCACTGAATGGCCCGTAATCAACCAGGAAACATGCATGTACATGCCCCCCCCCCCCCCAACACACACACACACACAGATACACACACGAATGTACAGACACACAGACACGCGGACACACACACACAGATACACACACGAATGTACACACACAGACATGCGGACACACACACAGATACACACACGAATGTACAGACACACAGACACGCGGACACACACACACACACTACTGTAGCGGACATTGAAATCCGTCGCGAAGCCAAACCGGCCACGGGGCGCTGGCTTTGCAGCCGCCAGCAATGCTGGTCCATTCTCACAGTGCGCACGTGAACTACAGTTCGTCTGATGAGTGTTTTCAAACACGAAACTCGGAGTAACGAGAAAGCTTTTTGGTCTCTGTTGTTCTGCTTTGAGGACTACAGTTCATGTACGCTGTAAAAGCAGCAAGGGCATCGGCCCCATCGTATTTCAATTTCCACGACAGTAGTACACGTACACGTGAACACACACACACACACACACACACACACACACACACACCGTGACACGAGAAGCACGCCCAGTATCTCACCGCCGTTGACGAGTGGGCCGACAACTTCACTTGGCCAAGCTGTGGTCTTGTAGAAACGCTCAGTCAGGCGATTAAATCTGAAACACAAAACCCAACAGAAGACAGTGAGTTGTTTGATTCAACAGCGGGTAGGTACCTTCAAGAGAAGCAAAAACAACAAACAAAACAAGCAAAATACGCCACCCCAAACAGGTGCATGATTATTCAACGACTTTCGAAAGCGATACATGTGAAATTGGTAAAGTACTCTAATTTAAGAAATTTTCGGTGCTCACTATTTTCGGTATGAGGGCAACAGGCTAGGTTAGGTGAACAGAAATTTTCGGTACAGAGAAGCAGTTCCCTATTGGATTATGTGTGTTAGTGTTTGTTTGGTGTATAGTTTTAGGTATGAAACAGACGCACCGAAAGTACCGAAAATAAAAGTACACCGAAAATTTGTGAAATTACAGTACTGCCAGAGCGCCCGTCTCACGAGAGCACCCCACCTTGATTTTACAGCCAAGGGAAGAAAATCGTATGGCAGAATGCTACTAAGTTTGTACGGTGTGAGAACCTTCGTGTACTACGGTCACACTTGGCATGTTTTTATGTGGCGCTCGCATCCGCACGAAGGTAAACTGGGTATGGATTGACTGCAAAACGTGCAATGCCCGTGTCGTACGACCTACAGACGGGAAACCACCTCCACAAGACGACGACGAAAGGACGAGATGGTGGGGCGCTCTGGCGGTACTTTACGGTACAACCCTATTATACCAAACAAGTATGTACTGTCGTGGACATTGAAATCGGACGGCATGACTGGGGCCGGCGCCCTTGGCAGGCCTTACTGCTTTCAGCCGCGTACGTGCACTGTAGTTCACGCACCCGCTGCACAAATGGAACAGCAGTGCTCACACGGCTGCAAGGTCAGCGCCCCCGCGGCCGCTCGACTTCTCAAAGGATTTCAACGTCCGCTACAGTAGTTTAGACACTACGGGTGCCGTGCATTGCTGTAGCACAAGTCAGTGTGCATCGCTTCAGGGTATACTGTAAACGTGTAATTTTAGGTGTATGAAAATTTCGGTGTCAGCGACCTGCCAGGTTTCAGGTGTAATTTAGAATTTGGTGACCAGCATTCCCTTCACATACAGAGTATACTCTGGTGCCTTTCAGGTGTAATCTAAATTTAGGTGCCTGAATTCTCTACCGAAATCACCGAAATTAAAGTCACACCGAAAATATCGTGTTTTACAGTAATTCAATGGTGGACGGCGAAACGGAGCGGACAGTCCACCTACCCGCTGTCGTAAAGCTGGTGAATGTCGTCCACGTGCTGTGCGCGTACAGGATAGAATGTGCACACACACACACACACACGCGCGCGCACATACATGCGCACATACACCACACACACACACCACACACACACACACACACACACACACACACACACACACACACACACACACACACACACACACACAAACCAAACGCACAAAGTCAACAACAGCAGACAGAAAACAATACAAGCACTGAAGCTTCTTTCACTGAACATCCACAGTCTTACCCAAATACCCATGCCAGGAAGCAGCTGTTTAACTTTACACCCATATTGCACTTACACATAGAGTAAGGGGCCATCCGGCATTAGGGACCTTTCGCACCATGCGTACGGATACGAAACGAATGCTGATTCGTCACCTGGGTTCGAGGATTCGTCAGAGTCCCTGTGGAGAGCTCGTTTTCACGAATGGAAGCCTCTTCATTCGTGGCGCGCTCCGAATCCATCAGGTACACATGTTTTGCCAGGTACACCTTTTTTCCCTTGTGCGCGTAAACACCGGTACGCCAAGCTACCAGCCGTATTCGTAGTTGCCATGCACATTTGCATGACGACTTGCGAAACCTGAATCTGTTTTCAACGAAACGATTACGAGCCGAATCAAACTTTCGTTTCGCATTCGATTCGTAGCAAATGCGAAAGGTCCCTACTATCGATAATTTGCACGGAGCGAAAAAGTTGAGTTACAACCCTCCAACACCCACCCAACCCCTCTGAACGAAAAAATATATTGACCGTGCGGCTAGAACGGATCGATGTTCAGCTATCATTTTTCAAAACGAAACTCTCGGCCCACCCACAACAGTAGCACAGTAGCACTGCATTCCCGTTTCAAATTTAAATCCCATCGTGCACATTCCAAAACCGATCTGAAGGCCGCATGAGCCCTGGCGCTGCTTTCGGCACGTGGGTCGAGGTTCTTTGGCCACCAGTGTACTAGTACTTCGTACCGGCCCCTGGCCGCCCGGATAAACGAGGTGTGAGTGTATTTCCAATCCAGGTCACATGACACGTGACATCAGTGTCGTTATCCGCATGCTTTGCTTACCCTCTGGTTGACGTGACGCTGAAACTGGATGAGGAAGTTCCTCACGTTGTCGGGAACGACATAGGACGACTGATGTGGCCGTACATCCTCGTATGTCTCTATCGTACGAGAGAGAGAGAGAGAGAGAGAGAGAGAGAGAGAGAGAGAGAGAGAGAGAGAAAGAGAGAGAGAGAGAGAAAGAAAGAGAGAGAGAGAGAGAGAGAGAGAGAGAGAGAGAGAGAGAGAGAGAGAGAGAGAGAGAGAGAAAGAGAGAGAAGAGAGAGAGAGAGAGAGAGAGAGAGAGAGAGAGAGAGAGAGAGAGAGAGAGAGAGAGAGAGAGAGAGAGAGAGAGAGAGAGAGAGAAAGGGAGAGAGAGAGAGAGAGCAAGAAAGAGAGAGAGAAGACAAACGATGAGCGTGCACATAGCAGGATTGTGAAATCAAATAAACAATACAGTGGACCTGCACGCAAGGAACCACTCTCTTGCCAGTCGGTTGTTCCCCACACTGGAGCTCGCACTTTTCCGCCGACTTGGAATTGGCACTTCACTGACTCACGACTGCCATCGAGGGCACACGGGAAGTCTATCGAACCTTCGACTCCGTGGAAAAGCGCGAGCCCAAAAAAAAAAAAAAAAAAAAAAAAAAAAAAAAAAAAAAAAAAAAAAAAGTTTGGGGAGCAACCAACTTTCCTATAATTTTTTTACTACTAATATTAATGTCTGCGGTGCCTCCTTTGCACCATGGCTGGTAGCTCGGCCTATGTAGCTCGTAGCTGTAGTGATGAGGCCGTTATGGCCGAAACAGCTTGCTGTCTACAGCATTGGGTTCTACTAATATCATTAATAGGGGTGAAACAATTATACCGAATATTCGAATACTCGTTTGGATTTTTCAAATATAATCGTGCTCGGAATAGATCAGAGTACTCGCTCATACATGGTACATGCATTTACCACAATAGTCTGCAGTCTCAGAGCAGCAGTCAGCAGATATTGATGTGCAGACTGTGTGATGAACATTTGTACACGAGTCGAGAGAGCCCAAATGACCCACCAACCAATACACCCGACAAAAAGAACTGCCAATCGGTTCAATCAGGGTTGTATCATGTGATTTTTAAGACGGTTGGTGTGCGATTTTTAGGATATCAAGAATACTCGAATACTCGAATATTCGATCGGAGAAAATCAGAGTACTCGAACTCGGGATCTCAGTGCCAACTTTCACCCCTAATTATTAACTAATATTACTTTGCAGCTTTGGGAGCGCTGCCTGGGCAGACGTGCATTTATTGCAATTTTACCAGGTGTGTGTGTGTGGAGGGAGGGGGTCTACCACCACTGCTTTACTGCTCTTGTGTAGGTCAACAGAGTAGTGCCGATGTTAGAACTTTGAACTCGGGTGTAGATGTGTTGGCGCTGGGTGTCTGTTTGTTGAACGTCTCAGTGCTCCCTGTCAAAGTTGGGCTTTTTTTTTGTGCCACTCTCCAACTGTATAGGGTCTGGTCGCGCTGGTGGACGGTTAGTCATAAATTCTAACATTGTTTAATTCCTCTTGGTTATGGACTTTGGTATCCAAGCTCAAACGACTGGGATGGCATCATGCAGGGTCGTTAAAATATACCCGCGGTCCGTTACACTTCCTAGTACATGTACATGTACATTGTTTGTCATGTCCAGAGTGCAGTGCACTGAAGTTTCACTGCTCTTACTAGTGCTAGTCACATGCGCTCGCTATTTTGCTGATCCATCACTATCAGGCCGTTTACTATAGTAATTAATTTTAGTATGTGCGTGGTGCGGGAAATGGTCAGCAAGAAGAACAGCTCTTACCTTGGTACTCTACTGGATAACCATCTAGAGCCTGTCCATGCAACAGTGGACCACAGTCAACCAGAAACAAATTTCACACACACCGCACACACAACACAGGAGTTGAGGACAAACAAATCCTGGGTGCCCCGTCCCGGTTCCGATGCTGGCCGGAGCTGAAACACAGCATACCTCGTCCGTGAACTCCTCGGTGAACTCCATTTTCAGCCGCTGTTCTCCTGCCTCGGCCAAACTCACAGGCAGCGACAAAGGAGAAGAGGAAAAGACTCAATTGCTGAAAAAAACTTGCAGCGGAAACGAGCATTCAAGCAAGATCAGCCTGCTTTGAAGATCAGTGCAGTTTCGTGCATACTTTTGGCGACGCCATTTTTGTCGACAACCAAGGTAACCGAAGCTGATGTTATGATGTCATGCATGCATGCGCGCGTCAAGAAACAACAATCCAAAAAAACAATGAATGCTTCAAAAATTAATTTTAATGTTATAGAATGAAGGAGCCGGATCGGAGACGCGCTTTGCGTGTGATCATACGTACGAGTTCGTACTTGGTAGATGTCATACATCCGTCCTCAGTGCACTGTCGACATGTCTGACAAAGTGTGCTTAGCCGGCCGTTGATGAGGCATGCCGCATGAGCTAGCTGCCTGATCTGGCTGACGGATGGCTGCATATGGCCCGACTTTTGAATCTAGCCTTCTAGGCTAGCTGTAGCCCCCGCGGCCCGTTGACTGAGTGACCATTTGGAGGCTTGCTGCCATGTTAGCATGACTTGTTACTAATGAGTAATGTTAGGCAACCCAGTCGACTGTCGTTGCATTGACTTTGTGCTGATCTTGACAAGGACATTTGGCAGGTTGTGGAGCTGCGGCCGCTGCCTCGCCATTAGGAAAATATTGCGATGTTGCCTCGCCTGCCAAGCTTAGCTCCATCAGGCATCACTCCGTGGCCAACTTGGGGGGAGTCCTGCAGCTAGCTGGACAGGCTGCTACCAAGAGTACATCTGTTTTGTGCTACACATACAAATTCCATTTCAATTACTCTAATTTCAGAAATTTTCGGTGCTCAATATTTTCGGTATGAGGGCGACAGGCTAGGTTAGGTGAACAGAAATTTTCGGTACAGACAAGCAGTTCCCTATTGGATTATGTGTGTTAGTGTTTGTTCGGTGTATTGAAATTTTAGGTATGAAACAGACGCACCGAAAGTACCGAAAATAATAGTACACCGAAAATTTGTGAAATTACAGTATAACACAGTGTCATGTACGTACAAATACCGTCATGTATGTTTTTGGCTCCCTTCCTATACTGTATACCATGGTATACATGTACATACGAGCGTACAGTCCTGTGTATCGTCAAGAGCAGACACGAGTGTGGCCATATGGACTCTTGCCGTCTTGGTATCCTCAAGAGCAAGAGACGAGTTCATGACATGAGCTCTTGTCAAGAGTAAAATTAGCTAATTATACTCTTGCCAGTCTACAAATTGTAGGTACTGTATCATGACTGTGCGGGGCCCCTTGTTGCTGACCTTGCACATTGTCGCAGTCCTGGACACTAACTGTTATCATGGTTGGCTTTGAAAGCTGATTTTACAGCTTTTACTTGACAGGTGTCCAGCGCTCTTGCATCTTGGCCAAGTCAAGTGTGGGATGGGTTACTCCTGGCCGGGGGAGTGTGTAGGATTGGCCCCATCATTCTTGCCATTCTCCACTCCAGTTTTGTTTGCCTGCACAAGAAGACATTAATTTTATCTCCCCGAAATCGCTTGGGAGGGATATCATTATCAGCGCTCCGATATATCAGCTGAGCTACATGTAGCTGTTTGGGGCTGCAATCGCTGCAATCATGTACCGCGGACCGGTACAGAGAGACATTAGAGAGGTTCTGCACAACGAAAATTCGAACGAAGTTTCGCGACAGGCCTTGCGAAAATGTGTACGAATTTTCGCACGAACTTTGTGTTCTGCACATTTTCGTAGTTTGCACGCGCCAAGTGCACGTACGACATGCCCCAATCTCACGAAACTTCCTACGAAAGTTCATTTCGCGTTCCCTCCAAGTTTCGCGTCCAAAGTTGCGAAAGTTCGTGCGAAGTTTCTCACTTCGTGACGTAGAGCGAAAGTTCGTACACATTTTCGTTTTGCAGAACCTCTCTAATCATGGAAAACCAACTTTTCTAGGTTTCATTTTTGATTTTCTTCGAAGACTGAGACGGTACCGCGGTGTGATCTGTGTGATCGTGAGAGTACCGGTACTGCGATTGAAAAATTAAATACAAAAAACGCAGGAGTCAGCCGTGGCATCCGGCTGAATTACATGTACCAAGGATTCGGCACAGTCGAATTTGACGATTCCCTGGCCAACACGGTCGTTTGTCACCAGATTCCGGAGACTAGTCGAGACTGCACCATGCTGCATGTGCACGGCTAGGCTAGCCAACAGTACCCATACGTGTAGGGCCGTAGTACAGGCGTATACGCGTAGGTACTAGGTCTACTCAGGAGACCCACATGGCCATCTACTGACTGTAGATCTACTGTACTGTAGCTGTGTACACTACTGATGAGTCTGTACCCATGATACTACAGCGTAGTGGGTAGGCGAATCTATCATCAGTTTTCATCACTCGCAGCCGTTTGAGGAACGAAAAAGCTTTCTCTATTTTCTTTGCTGAACTCGAAGGAGTTGGCTCTTTGTTTCGTTCATTCGGCAGTGTTTAGAATTATCAATGCCTGGCCATTGCTTGCAGGTATAGATTCACCATGCCGGTGGGCAAAGTATTTTTTGACCAGTATTCCGTGTTCTGCGTCTTCGGGAGCGTCTTGGCCTGCGTGGTGGTGCCTCTGATTACTCAGGTACGAGTTTGTAATTTGCAGCAGATGAACTGGCATTTGAGAGTGCTGCACTCCTCGTACGAGTATCAGTTTTGATGTGCAGCATGGAGTTTATAGTCAAGGTGGACGATGGGCGGCGTAGCAGAGCCTGACTTTCCTCCCTCTGTGCGTATGTTCTTCTGCTGTGCATGCAGTCTTTGGAGACGCTGATTTTGTCCATCATTCTAATTGGGCTGACAGCAAGTCGATGGCTACAGCAGCGTGGCACACAAGGAGACGCTGGCAATAAGGTATTTGCCGTGCATTTGCTTCAATTTCTCTTCTTTCATGGCTCAGGATTTGTCTCGACCATGGAGTTAGCTTTTCATGTTGCAATTCCTGCAAAATCATGTCTCGTTCCGCATTTCGAATCCAGCGTATTTCGAATTCTCTGACTCTCGCGGTGCGTGCTAACTTGCTTCGCTTGTCAATCGTTGTGGGGGAACTCTCACCACTGGAGGGCCCAGTGAAACTTTTGAATGTGTGCCCAGATGGGGGTTGTAGTGTTGTCTCAGGGTATTCGACTATTTGTTCCTGGATTGGGCACACTCGTGGTGACAATGCGATAGCTACTATAGTATTAAGTCGCCTGCACGCCTTTACAGTATTGAAATAATTGAAGTAAGTTTTGTGAAGTGGCTCTCGAGTGTTGCGCCGAAGGTAGTAGTAGTAGTAGTAGTACGGTGATGAGTTGTAGTGATAGAAGTTGCAGTCGTAGAAAGGACCCACGTGCTTGAAGATATCTGTGGTGACCATGGTGGTGACATGGGTTGGTGGGTTGTGCGTTTGCTTTTGGTTTGCAAGAGTCTACTACTACGTGAGGTGTCCCTGTGTGTGTGTGTCTGTGTCTGTGTAGTGTGTAGTATGTGTGTGTGTGTGTGTGTGTGTGTGTGTGTGTGTGTGTGTAGTGTGTAGTATGTGTGTGTGTGTGTGTGTGTGTGTGTGTGTCCATGTGTCAATAAGAGATTATGATAGGACTCGCTTGTATTTTGTTCAGTGTCGGTACATTGAGGGTGGTGGCGTTCCTGCGGATGCGGAGAACTCTGTGTGACCGAGTCTCTTGCAAGCCGCATCATTTATTACTTGAGTAGTTACGGCATAAATACAACATTTCGCTAGATCACTCCACCATCAGGTTCGTTACGTACTAAATTTCGTTTTTGGTCGAGGTCTGTCACCCCGAACGTTCAGAAAAAACTTTCGTTATTTCGTGACCCCTAAGGGGTCGTCCGCAATTATCGAAAGTTTTTTCCAATCCGTAGTAGCTTCGAAAGTGGGTGGGTGGGTCAAGGCCAGTTACGGATTGAAAAACTTCCGAAATGACACGTGCGCGTGCCACGTGTACGTCTACGTGTAGCCCCCGTTTTTCCACGCGCGGCTGCGCGCGAACTGTCTACCACAAATATGTTTGTAGTTCTGGCAGTTTCTGCGCCCCCGCGCGCGCTTCCTTGGCTGCTCCTGGGCCGGGGATCATAAAGTTCGGCGCATTCGACGGCGAGTCGACACTTTCTATTTTTGAGTTTCACTGTCTCCTTCGTCCAGAGTACCGTCTTCCATGCACTCCTTTGAAGTTCTTCCGTCTAGCGCTGGCGCTGACGACTGTTATTGACTATGTCCAGACAGGCGACGTTGTTTGGAAAGGCGGTGAAGAAGCAGCCCTTTTTCAAAACCGCTGGTGACTCTGATTATTACAGAACAATAAATTGCTTGTGGCAGTTGTCCAAGACGACGAACAAGGATTTCGGTGATCACCAATTAAACATCAATATGGTAGTTGTAATACAATACATGATGTCACTATGACTCATGGACCAGCACTGATTGAGTTTGTTCCATATTATGTGTTGGGTTGTGTGTCCATCAATAATATTTTATTACGGACTGGGGTGGGTGGGTGGGTGGGTGAGGAAAAATTTGAAGCTACTACGGATTGGAAAAAACTTTCGATAATTGCGGACGACCCCTAACGAATATAGCGAAAATTAATTCCAAACGAAACTTTGTACTTTTACAGTACAGTGGTCCCTCTATAATCCGGCACCATTTGTGCCACGAAAATCTGCTGGATTAGGGAGGGTGCTGGATTAACAAATCTGATTTACTGCTGCAATGTGCATGAAGAGGACATTTGGCTACTGAAAATTGTGCTGGTTTATCGAGGGTGCTGGATTATAAAGTGCCGGATTAGAGAGGGACGACTGTATTGGTATAGAGGTCATGCGATGACATCATACGCTGCCATAAAGGAAGACTGTTGAGTTGCAAACTGCACTGGGAGACATGTGTACTAGATACTCCAAAACCACTAATAAGTAATATGAAAGCCAACTGAGTGGCAAAAGTGATATTTTATTGACTTCTGAGTGGCAAAAGAGAGATTTTTTGACTTCTGAGTGGCAAAGGTGATATTTTATTGACTTTTGAGTGGCAAAAGTGATATTTTTATTGACTTCTGAGTGGCAAAAGTGATATTTTATTGACTTCTGAGTTGCAAATGTATGATTAGTCATTTACATAACCACTATAAAGTCAGGCCTCGCTCAACCGCCCACATCCGTTTTCCACAAAAAAATATCAGGATAGGCGAGGAAACCGGATAATCGAACGCACATACTGTATGTATGCATGGCATATGCTGTAAATCGGTAACCAACGATTTTCTTCCGGATGGCGAGGGATCCGGATAAGCGAGGACCAGATAAGGTCTGAGGTCTGACTGTACTCCAAAACCTCTGATAATATGACAGCCAACTGAGTGTGTACGATGATGCGGGACGAGCACTTGGTACCTACAGTCCATTCATTGGAAACTGGCACCCTAACTTGTTGGTGCCTCCCGCACATACAGGTAGATGTAGATATCGTGAAAGCAACAGTACATACTGCATTGTGTGACCCGTGCGATTACTCCTTGCTATATTTGAGGCCAGAAAAGTCCAAGAACAGGGAACAGGGAAATAGAAATTCAGCCAGGTTTTACCAAATTGGGACAGGTATGCCATGGCAAAATGCACGGAAAAGCAGACCCCAAACCCAGGTTTTTGAAATTTAAAGTGGGTTCTTGCTCCTTGGTGCCGTGTGTGTACTAAAAATGACCGCAGGGCCGGTCTCGTACATCGCAGATGCCTGATTTTGTGACCCCTAGTAGCTGACCTATTGATAGGTATAGAGAAGGCACGCCGCACACACAGAGACTCAGACTTGCACATGCACACATAGTGACATACACACACACACACACACCATGTACCACACACACACACACACACACACACACACACACACACACACACACACACACACACACACACACACACACACACACACACACACACACACACACACACACACACACACACACACACACACCATGTACCACACACGCACAATGGGGACGGTCTGCCAGATGGGCTATGTCATGTTGTGTGACGTCACATGCCTCTGGTATAGCTTGTTTGTGTGAAAAAAGTGCAGATCTAATCGGGAAAATATGGTGTTGCTTGCCTTGTGACCGGCGCTTTGGCCGAGTGGTTGTGGGCTTGCCTGCGAATCACAATGTCCCGAATTCAAAACCCGCGCTGGGAGCAGGGAGCGTGTACTGTGTTGATATGAACATATGCGGCGATGCATGCGTGAACCACTTTACATGCAGTGAACTGCGCCGACACCCACGGTCAACTGGGTACTCACAACACTCAGAGTGAGCGTAGCATAGATGCAGCTAACGAGGTTCGCCCCATTGTCGGGCATTGGCTGTGAGACTTACCACCTCACCCTCGCCGTCGGTCGCTGCATCTGCCACCCTGGTACAATCAGGCATGGTGGTGGCCTGGCACTAGCGAAACTTCTCTATTAGCGCTGGTTGTTTTTCTCAATACAGGTGGTAACGCGGATGTGCGAACTTTGCTTCTTTTTTTTGCCTTGGAAAGCCCTTGGCGCTCTTGAAGAAAGTATAGCTCTGGGAAAGTGCTGTTTTCCTGGCCTTGGAAAGTACTGTTTTCCTGGCCTTGGAAAGCCCTTGGCGCTCATGTTGTTGTTGTTTTCTGATCTTGTTTGACTATTCAGGGTCATGGGCGGGACAATGAACGCCGTAGAGCCAGGGATGCTCAGTCGCAGTCACAGGCAAGGCCAAGGCGGCGTGTCAGACAACCGCAGGCGGTCAGTACTAGTTTGCCGTGACCCCCCCCCCCCCCCCCCCCGCATTGTGTGTTCGCTTGGGCTACTGTTTTGTGTGTGTGTGTGTACCGGGGGGGGGGGGTACTTTTGGTGACACCAAGAGTGTGCAACTCCAGCTATAGGGTCTGCAATGGCAGAACTTCGCGTCACGTGATAAACCCGTACACATGTGCTGGACCCTGTGCGTGATAGATACACAACCCTCTTGTGTGGGGGGTGGAGGTCAGCCTCCTTGCCTAGACCGTTCTTATTTTCATGCATTGCAGTTTATGTGCGGTTGAATCGCCGTGTATAAATTGGTATGCTGTGCTTGATGAAATCCTAGCCTGGTTGTTCTTCGGCGCTACGTTCTTGGGTGCCGACTAGTACTGTATACATAAACCCATGTTCATACAAACACCTCGAGTGGTGATGGAATCACATCGCCCATACGAAACGCCCTCGAGTGATGATGTAATTGCATAACCTCTACCCCAGTTTCTGTGTACGTTAGTGTTGCGTCTGTGTATTGTGCTGGTGGTCACATTGCTGGTAGCTCTGATGAATGCACTCACTCCGGCAGACACGTATTATTCCTAGAAACTAACGTCAGCCATACCCCATTCCGATCCCACCATCTTTCGCGATATGCCGTATGTGTGCCCATGGGTGTGTGTGCGTGGTGTGTGTGTATGTACGTTGACCTAGTGTTGCGTCTGTGTATTGTGCTGGTGGTCACATTGCTGGTAGCTCTGATGAATGCACTCACTCCGGCAGACACGTATTATTCCTAGAAACTAACGTCAGCCATACCCCATGCCGATCCCACCATCTTTCGCGATATGCCGTATGTGTGCCCATGGGTGTGTGTGCGTGGTGTGTGTATGTTTGTGTGTATGTTTGTGTGTGTGTATCTGTATGCATATTATCAAGAGTACATAACCCCCCCCCCCCAGAGTGTGCAACGCCTGATCCAGCTCTGCATAGGGTCTTGGTCGAGCGGAATCTGATCTTCTGATGTCATGCGTACACTCCACACCAGCGCAAGGCCGGTCTCGAGGCAGGGCACCATTGTTTTTGATCCAAGAGTACCCGCGACTCCCCGGGTTCCCCTCAGATGTGTACGGTATTATGACGCAAAGATCCGATTCCGCTCGACCAAGACCCTATGCAGAGCTGGATCAGGCGTTGCACACTCTGGGGGGTTATGTACTCTTGATATTATGTGTGTATGTGTGTGCACTCCCGCAAGCATGTTCTCCTTCTTGCTCTTCCCATGGGGCTGTCATGTCTCATAAACAGTTTATTTACCCCCCCCCCCCCCCCACACACACACACACACATTATGGCGTCATTATCACTGTGTGTACTCACCCTCTGTGTTGCAATCTGCAGCCTGCGCAAGAAGTGACGGCCGAGCAACGGCGGCTTCGTGAGGAGGAGATCAGTAAGGCGGAGGAAGCACGGCAACGTGATGAGGTATGTGCAGCCCAGCGCGATGGATGCACTGTGAAATGGAATGCTGCATTTTGTCTTGATCGCCCCTCGTAGAGCCGTGCATCTGCCGTTTGTGTCTTGGCTGCGTTTGTCGTATCTCTGTCTGAACCTCTGTCTTTCTTTCTATCTCTCTCTGTGTCTCTGTCTCTCTCTCTCTCTCTCTCTCTCTCTCTCTCTCTCTCTCTCTCTCCGTTTCTTTCTTTCGTCTGCCACCAGGAACGACGGGAAGAAGATAAACGTGAGAAAAAGCTGAAAAAGAAACAAGAGAGAAAGGAACGTAAAGAACAAGAAAAGGTGTCAGCTGCTAAGGAGGTCAGTGATTATAATCTTGTTCTTGCCTTGCGTGTTCCGTCTCTGTAGACTAGTACTCTTTGCTGTCGAGTGGTGGTCTTTCGCTCTCTCTTTCTGCTGTTACTTGTTGCCCTGCTCGGTATGTCTGTGTGATATCACCCTGCTCTGTGTGTGTGTGTGCGTGCGTGTGTGCGTACGTGTGTGTGTGTGTGTTTATGTCTGTGCATATGGCTATGCATATGTGTGTATGCATGTGTGTGTATGTGCGTGTTCGTGTGTGTGTTTTGTGTGTGTCTTCTGCTCGTACAGACAAGGCCTACTAGCTATAGCAATGGCAGTCACGCGCACACCTCAGCAAGCAGCCGTGAGAACTCCTTCTCTCGGACCAGTAGCAACGGCAGCAGCGGCGAACCCTTCACGCGGCATGCTCACCGACCGGGGGCTGCCTTCACACAAACCTCAGCAAATAGTAGTAATAGTAGTAGCAGTGGCAGCAGTGCCTTTTCAGCTTCAGTTTCATCGTCATCATCTTCACATGTGAGTATCATTGCATTGTATTGTATATACAGTCACACCTCGCTTAAAGGGGAAGTTAAGGCAAAAATTAAAATTTCACCAGTTGTAGTCTTCGGGGTGCTGAGTCGAATGGTCTTGGTCCGAGAAAGCTGAGACGCTCCCTTCCTACTTGAATCCCAATCGAACTCGCGCACTTCCACCGAAACTGGGTGACTGCGCCCTACTAGATGGGGATTTGTATGCAAAATGTCACTAAAAGCGCCATTTCGTTCTTATAAAAGCACGGATGACCGCGATTGGCCCATATGTTGTAGTCTTTTGGACGCTGAGTCGACTGGTTTTGGTCCGAAAAGGCTGCGATGCAGCGTTCCTCCTTTATTCCCAATCGAACATGGTTGAAGAAGCGGTCACGTGCTCCTGCGTACACCAGTTACCTGGTCACCGTGCCTGCAGGGTACAACTTACTAGCCTGTTTGACCTTTTTTGGGTGCAGTCCTGTCACTCGAGTTGAACCCGAGTTGAACCTTGGTGTGAAAGTTGTCGCCTGCTGGCGTGGTGACCAGGTGATTTGGGCACCCAGGAGCACGTGACCGCTTCTTCAACCATGTTCGATTGGGAATAAAGGAGGAACGCTGCATCGCAGCCTTTTCGGACCAAAACCAGTCGACTCAGCGTCCCAAAGACTACAACATATGGGCCAATCGCGGTCATCCGTGCTTTTATAAGAACGAAATGGCGCTTTTAGTGACATTTTGCATACAAATCCCCATCTAGTAGGGCGCAGTCACCCAGTTTCGGTGGAAGTGCGCGAGTTCGATTGGGATTCAAGTAGGAAGGGAGCGTCTCAGCTTCCTCGGACCACGACCATTCGACTCAGCACCCCGAAGACTACAACTGGTGAAATTTTAATTTTTGCCTTAACTTCCCCTTTAACCACGCACATCCGTTTTCCACAAAAAAGTATCTGGATAGGTGAGGGAGCCGGATAATCGAACACACATACTGTATGCAAGCATGACATATGCTGTAAATTGGTAACCAACGATTTTCTTCTGGATGGCGAGTGATCCGGATAAACGAGATCTGACTGTATCATTGTATTGGAAGTAGATTGGCAACCAGAGCAGGCAAATTGCCCAATGACAATGACACCACTGTAGAGAAGTGAATGAAGAGAAGATGACAAAACGGAAGTACAAGAGATTAATAGTATAGACTTTAGTGATGTAACGAACCATGAATTTTACGAACGATTAATCTAGCGAACACCACTCAAGCGAACCGAAGATTAATCTATTATTCCAGAAAAGTGTACATATAGCAAACACACAGCACACAAGCGCTCAGACTCGAGTCACAGTAGAGTCTATGATGGTCCACCGCACGTAGTCTAGTCGTTGTCTGCAACACGGTACAAAGCGTATGCATTCCAAGTCGAGAGATCTAGAGTCGCGTGCGCGGTATGCAGCGCACGGACCGCCCGTGAATACCGTATTTTTCCGGTTGTAAGTCGACCATTTACGGCTTAAAATAGAAGGAGAAAGGGTGGGGGTCGACTTACAACCGGGATTCGACTTATAACCGGGAACTATCAGTATCTTACAAAAAATGACCTGCACTGCATGCACGAGTGCACCATGTTTACACATGTTTGCCAGTTTATTGGCCTTTTTCAAGGATTGGGACGTTATATCCTCCAATGAGGAATGTTTACATGATTTGTTGATGTGTTATTAGCAGGAGGTGGATAGTAGTGCTTCTTTGGGTGAAAACTTTAAAATGCAGAATTGAGACCTCCAGATAGGGGGGTCGACTTATAACCGGGGTCGACTTACAACCGGTAAAATACGGTATTCGAATTTTCGAGCCTTCGACCTAGATTTTATCCGATCGAATCTTCGTTGAGGTCCAAGAGATCAAGGAAATTTGAATAATTGATTATTCGTTACATCACTAGTTTTGAGGTTATAAATAGAGTATATACGCTTTATAGAGTTTAAGCGAGTGATATCGCAGGGGCGAGTCCAAGCAAGCGCTTCTGGGCGCTATATATGCACGGTGAATGGCCAGTTGTGGCCAGGCACAAGGGGTACATAGATGCAGCTAATGGGGTCGTTCTCGGCACTTGTGCCAGTGGTTGTGAGACTTATCCACTCACCCCCACCGTTAGGCGCTGCATCTGCCGCTAGGGTTTACCGGGTGTTAGCAGCCGTCGTGAGTTCCCTTCGGGAACGGACACGATAATTTTTTTTTTGTGAATGGCCAGTACAAGTTTCACTGTGGTTCATTCCCATCCGTGAAGTGACTGTTGTACAATGTGCTTGAAGAGTTCCCTAAATTACCCCCCCCCCCCCAAGGAGAGTAGAATACACCATGCTGCGGCCAGTGAGGTTATAATGTGTTGTCGTGTATTTGTGTGCCTGCAGAGTAAATCACATACTGCCAACGCGCAGACAGCACACCACCACCAGCCATCATCATCATCATCATCATCGCAGTCGTCACATCCGGCAATAGCGCAGGATCAGCGGCAGCGCGCCTGGGCCCACTCCAAGTCCACCTCCTCGTCGCTATCCTCCTCGTCATCCCGCTCGGCATCACGGCCGGCATCGCGATCGACGAGCAGCTCCCCACCGCCACCAACAACAGCAGCCCTATCACAGCCTCAACAGCATCAGCAGTTCCCATCGTTGGTGCAACCGGCGCAGATGCGTTCTTCAGTGACCACTACAACTACTTCGTCAACCTCGTGCCCGTACTCGTCAGTCGCGACGGGATATACGACGCAGTGTCGAAAAGGTATTGGACCTGTTGTTGAAGCAGTTGCAATGGAAGAAAAGAAAGAAAAAAAGACCAAGGAACTACAAGTTACGCTATAATGTCCACTAACACAACCAGTTACTTGTAGTTCCTTGGTATTTTTTTCTTTCTATAAATTAATCCTTGGCTCTCCATCCGAGTCCATTCCCGCACAAGTTGCAATGAACCCGGCCATTAGTGGTGTTCTGCTCTACGTTATGGGAACGCGAGGCGAAGAATCCCGGTAACAACACTCTTCGCGTTCCCGTAACGTAAAGGAAACCTGTTCCGTTCACTGAAAGAAATCACATGAAGGGTGTTTTGGGAATTTTCCCCTTCCGAATTTGGCAGTATTCCGCCCGGATTTGAATGATGCCTAGCAGATCCGTACCCATTTTCTTCGCGTGTGCCGCAACATAGAGAACCTCTTGTTCTTGTGTGGTCTAGGCTTACATGTATGATAAGATTCCCCTAATCTTGACCCCCCCCCCCCCCCCGGATTTGGGGAACTCCTGTCTACCTTCCAAGTTTCCCGCACCTCCTTGGGGATGTCCGGGGTTACTGATCATTTTTTTCAAAACGGAGCAGTTTTGGTAATATCAGTCCCTATCCACTCTTTCTGAATGTAAAACAAATTTCAACAAAATACAGGTAGACTCCAATTAATTTGAACCTCAAATTGCCAGGCCCCCAACTTCGAATTATCCAAATGCAGCCCCATGTGCTGATATGTCTGTAAAAATGCTCGAAATCACGTACCGACTATTTTACACATTTTATTTGCATCGACGAAACATAGGTGGTTATGTATCATACTCATAGCTCATATATGTGCATCTGTGTCCGTGTGTTTGTGCGTGTGTGCGTCTGTGTGCGTGTATGGTGATAGTGAGTGATATGTCCACAGTCAGTTCGTCACCGAGGAAAGCATTTGCGGAGGTAGCACCATCAATGCGACCAACTACGGATGGTGAGTTTGTTGTGTGAGAGGAGGAGGGGGGGGGGGGGGGGGCAAGAGTCAATGTAAGGATCCGTGTTCAGCTTTTGGAATTTGTGATAGTAGGGACCTCTAGCACCACGTTACAACGTAGGCCTTTTGGCGTACTTGATCACGTCGATCGGGGTGAGCGATACGTGTTTTGCATACGTGACTAGCCTTTAGCGTGCCGTGATGTGGGTTGACGTCGTTGCCACAGGAACAGAGCAGTGTACGGAATGGTTATCGGCTTCCATTTGGCATCGTAGTTTAATAGTTGCCAAATTCAGGAGTACGAGTACAGTGTTCCAGGCCGGCGAGCCACGAGAGAAGGGCTTTTCATTCGACGTTGCCACTACTTCTGTCAACAAATTGATGTCCTCTTGGGCTACGAAACGGAATTTTAGTCTGCGTGTCCTCGGCAACCATACTGAAACAAAATTTGCTCCAAGAAGATACCAAAACACAAAACACAACTACAACATATTAAATTTATATTGAAGTTTCTTGTACTCTTGGTGCAAGTGCAAAGGCAAACTCCTACGTCCTGCCACAACGTACAAAAGACCTTTTCTACGTTGAAAGCGTTGCCTGATGAACGTACATCCTACGTTGTGACGTGACCCCGAACAAGGCCCTGCGTCCGGCTTACGTCGTAAACAACTTGGTGCTAAAGGTCCCTCGTGTCGAAACACAAGTGATTTTCTCAAGATGCTTTCAGTTTGCAAAATAATTCTGCAATACATGATTTTGTATCGAACGACGCGAGTCATAAGGTACGGTCCATGACGGGGTGACTTCGGACCTAATTTCTCGTTTTTCGGGACTTCTTTTCAATTATTTCTCCTTGAAAGAAGCGGAATCAAGTTCACAATACCAGTTTTTCATGAAGACCAAAAAATTAGCCCTGAAAGTTGTGGCATTCAAATAATAGCCCCAGGAAATGATAGAATAGTTCGTCTGTCACGCTTCTGAATTATCCCTAAATACAATAAGTGACATGAGATCTTTTGTTGCTAAAATTCAACTCAAGTCGTGCTAGCCATTCTGTGAGTTATGGGAATCGCAGTGTTCGAAATGCTAAATTTCCAAGTACGAATCGGGAGTAGTCGGCGCACGACGCCGTCTCCTGTTCACACTCGAATTGCAGCCGTTTTGTACGCTTGCGTCCCCGTCTACGCCCGTCTACGGTATGAAAAGTTGGATCGATCCAACTCTTCCCGTCGCTTCCCGATCTGTACGGTAGTACGGTTGCGTTCCTGTTCCTGGTGTTCACATTGGACACCGTCAGACCGTCCCGTCGATCCTTACGTCGCGCCCCGTCGAATGTTAACTAGGCTTAAGACAGATAAAATTGTATGTAACACAATGTCATGTACTGTACGTATGCAGGGCTGCGGACTGCATGGTGCAGTCCCTTATGCCAAGTGTCGGATTTCACTTGCCACAACTGTATATGTGGTGGTATTGCTACTGTTGCTGCTACTGTTGGTGGTGCTGCTGCTGGTATTGAAACATAATGTTGCAGCTGCCGCTCTCTGACGTAATGTGTTTGTTCATGTTGTCCGCTTGTAGCTCAATCCTGGAACAAGTCGTATGCGAGACTCCAGCCGCAAGCATCCAACAGTAGTGCCGGCAGTGGCCGTGCAACCACCAGCACCGATGGCAGTGGTCCTTTAGCGTTAGGCGCCTCAACCTCGTCGTCATCATCTTCCTCACAGCAGCAACGAGAATCAGAATCGGGTCGATCAAAGCTCTCCTCTCCTGTAGGTGGCTCACCATCACCCCCGAGTGTGTCCGCCGCGTCCTCCACCACTAGCGTTTCATCTCACCCATCTGTTCACGACGTCATTGAGAGCGCCTTGCAAATGATCGGCGTACAATCGGACGCTGAGTCAGCTGCCCCTGCCGCCTCCACCACCGCCGCCGCCGCCACTTCGGAAACATCTGGCATGACGGCCGCGACACCGCACGTGTCGGCGGCGATGGTCGCCCGTTCGGATCTCACGGCCGAACAGCGCGTGGCTGCGTCCGTGTCCGGAGCCGCCGTGGCGACTGGCGGAGTGCCGAGCGTCGCCGCGCGTCCCAGCACCATGCCGTATATGCCCAGCGCAGTACCAGCCCAACAACAAAAGCAGCAGCAGCAGCACGCAGGCGTGCCGCTGTTGTCTTCCGTTCACGGCGGCGGCCAGTCCCCAGTGGCCACAACAGCGACGACGACTACGACGGTACCATTGTCTGCGCCGAGCTCCGAACACGCCACATCGCCTGTGAGACTGGTGACGTCCGGTTGGGGTCCAGAGCCTCTGCCAATGCCCTGGCAAGTCAGAGAGGCTCAGCAGCAACAACAACAACAACAACAGCAGCAGCAGCAGCAACAACAACTCTTACACCGACACCAACAGCACGGAAGCTTTCAACAGCAGCAGCACCACCACCATCACCAACAGAGGCAGCAGTCACCGCCCTACTTGCAGCAACAGCAACAACAGCAGCAGCTGCTGCATAAGCGCCCGTACCATCAACAGCAGCCACTCCAGCAGCAGCACCAACAACACGCACCGCCGCAGCACCTTACTTCCGTCCACGGTCAGTCCAGCAACGTCGCCTTGCATCATCAGCCACGATCGCCCATGGTGCCACCGGGAGCAACAGCAACAGCAGCGGGGTCTGTACAGCATCACACAGCAGCAACACCGGCGGCGGCAACGGGAACGTCCATGCTGTACGCTCGCCCGGCGGCGGGTGTACATGCCACTGTCGCACCGCCAGTCGCCACCGTCAATCCCATCCCGCAAGGCATGCCACAGCAGCAGCACCAGCAGCATTCTGTCGCCAGCGGCAACTCTCCGATGTACGCGGCGGCTGGCCCGAAGAAGCGCACCGCCGACTACCAGACGCAGATCATGTCCAGGGAGGTCACCGACAGTCTACTGCACCGCGGCACCGGCTACTCTGACTACCCCAAGCCGGCGTCCGCATCCGCAGCTGCTGCCCCCAGTGGTGGTGGTGGTGGTGCTCGCCTGGCATCGCAAGTCCCGCCGCCCTCGCACCACCTGTACTCGCTGTTCGGCGGCGGAATGTCGGCCGAGCGCGGCAACGTGTTCACGGCATTTCAGCCGGATAGGCTAGCCTCCTCGGCTACAATTGCAACTGAACCGGCCGTCGTCTCCTCGTCTTCGCTGCTGTCGTCATCGCCGATTGGATTCTCTGGTATTGGCGGTGTCGGTGGCGGTGGTGGTGTTGAGGCCGGTAAAACCAACACCCTTCGCACGGGCGTTCAGAACTTTTCCTCGTTCAGCCAGTGGTAGCCAACTGGTCTTGTCGGACTTCACGGTCGCCAGCACTGTGTTTGTCCCTGGGTCTGGTTGCACGCCTGTCGTCGTCCCTTCTCCTCTCCGAACTGTCTTATATTTTGTTTGTTTTTGATCCTTTGGCGCTGCTTGAGTGCCCCCTCTCTGTACTGCTGTGTAGGTGCGTAGCGTGTGTTGTGGCAACGCCGGAAGGGCCTGCCTGGTGTGGGCCCTGTGGCGCAACACACCACAAGGCCCATGCAGTGGTGGAGTTCCCACCCTGTCTCGGTGCCACGCTTCTTCCACATCAGCGTGCACACGCGCACCGACAAGAACCCCGTTACCATATTAACTCTTTACCGCCTGGTGCGTCTCGTTGTCAGTCATCCATCCACGTTGTGTGTTCTGTCTCGATACTTCTTCGTCGTTGTCCGACTGCCTGGCTCTCTTTGGCCGGTGCTTCAGCAGCTGTGGTTGCTGTTGCTTCTTCGGTTAGTCTCGGCCCATCGCACTGTGTCTATGTACTGAGTTTGGTTCTCCAGGGCTCTGCGTCGTCCTATGTGGCAACCAGTGCCTTTCGGATACCTCTGTGTCCTAGTCACTCGTCCTCGTTTAGTTCTCGCGGCGGCGTTGCTCGCGCTGCCCTCGTCTAGTATTTCTCCGTTCGTTTTTTTCGTAGCCGCACGTTTCTCTCACGTCACGACGGCACACAGATTCGTATTCTTATCACAGCTCACAAGTTTTTATTCCGTGCAGCAGGTATTGCCGACTATTATCTCCTCGCAGCGCTGCCACTTTTCCCCCTCTCCCTCACCCGTTCACCGTGTGCATCTATTGTGTCTATAGCGCTGCCGGTCCTTTCGTCTAACCCACTCATTTCCGAAATTATCCTCTGAATACGCTGCACCCCCCCCCCCCTCCTGTGTGACACATTTTTTTTCGGGTACACGTCCGAATCGTATAACCATACATGGTTAAGAAAAGAATGAGATTGATCCCCCGTTTTCCTGGAGCATGGCTTAATTTCAAAATAGCTGCATATATATGACATATTAGCATTGCGTTTTTTTCGGACAAAACTCAAGTGTGCATACTGCGTAGCGCTCTGTTCAATTATTTTAAATCCCCGGTCCCCTTTTTTTCTGTGACTCTGTTTGTCACCCGATTTTGCTCTCTCTCACACACACTTTAGTGTTGGTTTGTGTGGAGCGAGGATTCTTTCTAACACACAGTGGACGCTAGCAGAATAATAGTTCATACTCCTGCTCGTCCTATATCGCCTTGTTTTCTATTTCATGTGTGAACTGTGAATCCTATCATTCTTCTTTCATTAACATTCCGGTAGTATTAAATAACGACTTGTTTGAACTCTGTGTGTGTGTGCGTGCGTGTGTGCGTGTGCGCACTATTAACACTACGGATCGACCTGATGTTGGGGAAGTGATCAGAGCGATTCCGCCGGTCTGCACGTGTGTGTGCGTGTAAGAGAAAATCTGTGGGTGCACATCCAGTGCATTTGCAGATTTGCGTGCTTATCTTGCGACGGGCGTATACATGTACATGGTGTGTGTGTGTGTTAGTTTGTGTCAGCACAAGTTGCTATGGCTTCTGCTGTAGCATCGATATCATCGCCTCCGGCGATGGGCGTCCAATGGTGTGTGTGTGTGTGTGTGCATGTGTGTATATGTGTATGTGTGTGTACATGGTGATCATAGAATCCAGCACAAAGTACAGTCATAGTAATATTATTTGGTGCTTCTATGGCTCTGATACATAGCTGCATTGGAAGTGGTACGAATGCTACCGGGCGTACTCAAGTGCAAAATGCTGTGATGTCCAGAACGCCAGCTTCGTACTTTGTGTCGGATATTTCGCATAATGCAGCTGCATGGTTTGTTGTTATTTAATTAATGTTATCAAGATCACACAACCTGTGAGAATGTGCAGTTACAATACAATTATGTCAAGGTTCACAATTAGTTTTTCGAAATTCCATCTTTTTCGGGGTGAAAATGTAGTGTGTGTGTGTCCATGGTGCATGTGTGTGTGTATGCGTGGACGCGCGCGCGTGTGTGTGTGTGTGTAAGTGTCAGGCTAAACTTAGTGGTGGTCTCATTATGCAGCCTTGAAAGCTGTTGAAGTGTGTAATCCCAGCACACGTTGCTGTATGTCTAACATAGTTGTTCGCCATCATCGTGGGAAGTGATGGGCGGGTCTGAGGCCTGAGGTTGGTGTGTGACTGTGTGTGCGTGTGTGCGTGCCTGTAGCTGTCAGTGTCTGGTCAACACGGTGACCACGTGCTGCACTATACCACTAAACCGCATCATGCATGTTACCAAGAGTACATAACCCCCCCCCTCCCCCCCCCCCCCCCCCCGGGGTTATGGCTCTTCATGTTACTATACTGTATAAGCAGAAATATTCGTCTGGAATTTAATTTCGTCTTTTTCGTCCAAGGAGCATTTGGACTAAATTAAATGTAGGACGAATATCGATTTGTCCAGCTTTTCTATACACTCTTATGATCCATGGACGAAATTTTCATAATGTATATACCGCATCATGCATGTTACTACGTTAAAGGTCAGAACCGGGTGCGATACCCATTATGGTTCAAATGGTCCGCAGGGACCGGGGCTCTGCCAACCGCGGAAGGTTGTAGTAAGGTCACTGTTTCCGAACACAGTGTCCTCCACCTCGTTTCATGCTGTCAATCTAACAGTTGCGTGAACTATAACCGAAGGTTTATCCAATACTGGTTTTTAACCAGTGTTAGGTTATAATCGTGTTACTACATGTACATGTATATACCGCATCATGCATGTTACTTTCAGCAGCATGACTGCATGCTTGTGCTCTTGCTTACTAGTATAGTACATCAAGAGTACAGTCATACATGTTTTTGTTTTTTTTAATGTATTAAAAGCCTCTTTTAATTAAATTAATAAAATTTAATCTTTTACGTAGAGTACATATATATACCACCAAGAGTACGGTTATGTACTCTTGGTACCACTGGATCTGACCCTAGCGTTTACGTTCTCTTTGTTGTACAGTCAGACGTCGCTCATCCGGTCCTCTTTTATCCGGATCCCCCGCCATCCGGAAGTAAATTGTTGGTTACCGATCTACAGCATACGTCATGCATACATACAGTATGTGTGTTCGAGTATAGCAAGAGTACATAACCCCCCAGAGTGTGCAACGCCTGATCCAGCTCTGCATAGGGTCTTGGTCGAGCGTAATCGGATCTTTGCGTCATAATACTGTACACATCTAAGGGGAACCCGGGTACTCTCGGATCAAAAACAACGGTGCCCTGCCTCGGACCGGCCTTGCGCTGGTGTGGAGTGTACGCATGACATCAGGAGATCCGATTACGCGTATACGCTCGACCAAGACCCTATGCAGAGCTGGATCAGGCGTTGCACACTCTGGGGGGGGGGGGGTTATGTACTCTTGGTTATAGGGTATCTGCCGGACTCGTCTGATCACAACTGAAAAAAACAATGGAGTCTCCCACATACTATACTGTATAGAGTCATGTACAGTCTGACCTCGCTTATCCGGTCCTCTTTTATCCGGATCCCCCGCAATCCTGGAAGAAAATCGTTGGTTACCGATCTACAGCATCTGGCATGCATACATATATGTACATTGTGTGTTCGATTATCCGTTTCCCTCGCCTATCCGGATATTTTTGTGGAAAACGGATGTGTGCGGTTATGCAAGGCCTGACTGTACTATGAATTATTATGGAACTTCAGACGAATAATTTTATACATGTGTGGTCAATCGAGCCAACAAAAAACGTAGGAAAGAAACATGTTTGCACTGGAGTCCGTATCCACTCATCGATCCTTGTCACGTGAACATTTTCGCACTTGCCGTCACTCGTCCGAACAGGACTGAGAGGCCGTTTACCATGGGTTACATGAGAAAAATAAGCCCGGGCTTACATGTATTTGCCTTGGGCTAAGCCGCCGCTTATTTTTCAACCGTTTGCGGGGCTGAGTTCAGGTGAGTGACTGCGAGTTCTAAAGCGGGATTCACAGAAGCTTTTTTGCGATGCGACACGCGATGCGAACTCGCGAAATACCATTCACAGAAGAAGTCAGTGCTGCGACAACATCTTGCTGATTTGGCTACGTCACCATGATATTCGCGCGGTTTGATACAACTTGTACAAATTTATAGGCAACTCTTGAACCTTTGTACAACTTTGCTGTAGAAAAGGTCAAAATCGTACGCCAAATCGTTTGTCGCATCGCATCGCATCGCAAAAGTTGAGCCAAGCTCAACTTCTGCGATGGCCTGCGATGGCCCTGTTGCGGCAGTTGCGTGGGGTCCGCGATGGTTGCGATTTGGGGATTTCCCGGTTTCGCGGCTGTCGCATCGCGTGTCGCATCGCAAAAAAGCTTCTGTGAATCCCGCTTTATCTGTGCGCATTTTATTTTTCAAATCGCACATCAACGCAGTGGTAATGTTCGTGTATGATGAAATTTGGTTCAAAAAGTGGGTGCGACTCACGCTGCTACTGCTTTTCTGACTGTTGGTTATTTTCGAGAAGGTGAAGGATCGGCTAGGACCTTCCACTGAACGAAGAATCAGAAGAAAAAATGCCAAGAAAGAAACAAAAGAGACGCAATGTCCAAGGCGACATCCTCTCAGGTTCACGAGGCAAAGTCGAAAAATACGGAAAACTCCGTATAACGCAGCCCAGGGTTTACGAGTATATTCTGGGGGGGGGGGGGGGGGGTCCAGGGTAGGGCTAGTTCAGCGGGGGGGGGGGGGGGGGGGGGGGAGCTGAATAAGCCCGCCTCACCATAATATTATTATGAACGCGCGCTCTAAAAATTAATTATTAATGACAGCCTGGGTAACACTAACAGAACAAAATATGCATGCAAGGCGGGCTTATCGTAAGCTTAGGGCTAGTTAGGCTAAGTAAGTTAGGGCCTACATACATGATACAGCCTTACAGGCAGTATGGCCTAGGCTAGGGTTGAATATCAAGCCTGGGCTTATTTTTCTCATGTAGTTACGCCCCTGAGCCTGAGGCTGAGGCGAGGAGAGGGACAGATGTCGGTAAGCCGGTTGAACTAGTGAGTAGTGATCATGCATGCATGGTTGGTGATGCCGATGGTCTCGCCGCTCTAGACCTTTTACTTGGGTCTTGGCTCTTGACCTGGTCTTGTCCGAATCTTCGTCACAGTTTGAGCTTGTCGTTTGTCACAGTGCGGTTCTTTGATGCGGACCATGTGAAGTGAAGCGGAGACGAGCGGAGGTTCTATCCAATCCAGCGAGCGGGAAACAAAGGCACAGCGCTCAGCAGCTGCATGACCAAGTAATTGCATTGCAGTTACACCATGATGCGCCGGAACGTCGAACAATCGTGTGCTCTCTTGGGCAGCAGAACTGTCTCGCTTTCGCAGATAGTCCTGCTGGTGTAAGTTCAATACGAGCGATTACGATACTAATTTTGTCCAGAATCAACCCCATGCACTACTGCTAGAGTCGCACCAACAGACAGTGGTAGCACCATCATGATCTCGCCTACCAGTGCCGTACTCATTGCGATCGAAGGAACAGAACTACACTGTCACTGCATGCTCGGCGGAAGTGCTCCGCTGCATTTCTACAACAGATGCGTCTGGCAAAGAAAGCCTCTGCTCTATTTTGTTTTATGAGAATTCATGTCTGCGCAGTCATCAGGATCAACTTTTCAAACAGACTGCACCGGATTTACTGCCTTTAGTTTAGGATAGCAGGGAGCAGAGGGCCAGCGGTAGCGCGATCTAGCCAAAGTCCAAGAAGACGTTTGTGCAGGCGAGACGAAGGCCAGCATTACTTATCGGGAGAAAGATTCGTTGTGACTTCTGAGTTCTGTCTTGCTCACGACCAGGGAGCCCTGGTAGATCTACATGGTGGCGACTGAAAACTGTGCCAGTACGGCAGTAGAAGCCGCGGCGTGGGTGCTCTGTGCAAACTAATACTTCATTAGCACCTACAACAGTCAATGACGTACCTAGACCTACCGATAAAAGCGACGTCTTCGTGACCACTGCTGTCAGCTGCTGGCGGAACGAAGAGGAAAAGCCCGCTCAAGCGCGCTACGAGCGCCTCTGCATTGATCTGCCACATGGGCTGCATGCTCGATCGGAGGAAACAGCTACTGACCGTCCCGTCGACTCTATTTCACGGTTTGCTATGATCACATTTTTATTTTGCAGCTCGCACATGAAGTCAAAAGAAGCGGTGCGGTGTGTTTGGTGATAGAACTACTCGTCAACTCAAACAGTTCACTGACTGTGGAGCGAATCCCGTCTGCCTACTCGACTAGTCTGCGGCGTCAGGCTCAAGTACGATTTCACAGCCCCGCTTTCGTGGAGGGACTCACCAGGATCACTCTACCCCGGCTGGAGGTCTATCCGCTATCCCTACCGCGTGCCCTCGACATCTCATCATGGAGAATCAGCCGATTTGCACGAACACATCTGTCGCCGAGCGGGACAGCTTTCTCTGGCACACAGATCCTACCCCAGCGCAGTCTGAGCCCGTGCTGGGCGAACGACACGACGACAATGGCGGCTCGAGCAGCAACAGCGGCGGCAGCGCTACGAATCCAATCCTGAAAGTGCTGAGAGAAGCGATCAAGTCTCGGCGGCGGAAAATGTCGAGCCAGGTGATCAAAACGCCCAGCGCCAAACCTCTTCGGGTGTTTGGCGCAGCCTGCGACATCTGCCATCGCTGCACTAGGCTGCCGTGTACTGGTGAAAGCGCCGGCCGGACACGCGTTCGTACTGACGGAAGCGACACTAGCGATTGTAATACTCCAGGTCTTAATTCACTCATAACATGTACTTGGAACCTGGCCGATTTTCAGCGATATTCGCTAGAACGTTTAGCCGACCAAATCGCGCGGCTGCACGAACAGGAAGGCGTGGAATCAGTGAAACGCTCGGAAGAGCAGGCTAAGTCGAGTTCGTCAAGTGTTATTAGCGGTTTATTGAGTGATTTATCGGAAAACCCGTACCGATTACAAAGGAGGCTTGCAAATGATGTGAAAGGGGACGAACTAAACAGCATGAAGTTGAACAGAGCGGATACCTTCTGCTGCTACCGCGACCTTCTCAAACTGCTTCAGGAACATCTGCATGAACTCGAGCAGGATAAACGAGCCGAAAGCGAACGCTGTCCCTGCTGCCCATCGCAACTTCGTGCCCATCGCGAGTGCTTGCTAGTCTGGCATGAAAAGCACGCCTTGAGCGCACTGGGTCGGACAGATGAGCGCACTTCGTCGGCTACTTCTTCTGCTTCTGCCCCAGATGTAGTAGAGGAAAACAGCTCAGAGCAACGCAAGGCGAGAAAATTTCACCCGCACTCAAGGGAGCACAGCGTGCGGCTGTGTTCCTCCAGCGATCATAACGTGACGGCGTCGACAAGCTCTCCTGCTGCTGGCGGCCAAGTTGACAGCGTAATGTCGACTTCAGGAGCGACGGAGGAAGTGGAGATGCAGGTCCTGTCGGAATCGCCAGGAGCATCTACCGCTGAGAGCGATGGGCGTGCATTCTGGCAGCCTGGCGGTGACAAGCAAGATCTGGTTGAAGTGGACCGAGACGACGGGCGCAGCGGCGCGGAGAGCCCTGGCGGATCCGGACGGTCGCTGTCGGACCTGAGACGTCGTTTGCGCACGTTCGTCACGCCACCGCGTCTGCCGCAGTTGTCGTCCGTGCGACGAGCGGGCTCGGGACACAGCGGCGGAGGCGCCTTTACGGGCTCGCGTAGTGCCTCCTCAACGCCAGATATCATCAAGCGACGGAGCGGCACGGACGTAGATGGTGGCGGTAGCAGCGGTCGCTATCATGCGATTAGTCACGTGAGACAGGGCAGTCGCTCGTGCGAGGACCTCCACCTGCAGAACATGGAAGGTATATTCGAACCACGCTTGGCTCCGTACACGCCAGCAGCCCACATGACCGAGAACAGCCCGCGACTGAGCGACGCAAACGTGTTCAGAACGTTCACGCCAGACCCGAACGTCGACGAAGTCGCGCGTCAGCGGCTAGAGTCGTACCTGTTTGAGCCGCGCGACGTCATATGCACCCCGCCGCTGACCTCGAACCCAGCTCTGGTCGCGTCCGTCGGCCCACTGCGTCCGCAGTCGACGGACTGTGCAGTGCCGTCGTCGTCGTCATTGGCGACAGGGGCGTCGGCCATGCTGAAAATTCCCGACCTCAGTCCCAGGCAGAAGCGGCGATCGTTCCCGGGCTACGCGTTTGATCTCTCCAAGCACATCGAACGTGAGTAGTGCGCGCGTGTGTGTGTGTGTGTGTGTGTGTGTGTGTGTGTGTGTGCGGGTGTCTGTTTAACAGTAGTACGGGGGCCAGGCATCAAAAATGTGGCTGAAAAAACTTTCGTTTCCACTTTGTCCGCACAACAATTTGACTGCAGATAATGAAAGCAGTGGCCTTCCTAACACAGAATCCACAAAAAATTGCTTCAAAATGCGAATGGAAGGCCTCCATCGAGTAACTTTTCTCGCACCTGTTCAGCCATTGCCGCTTGTCTCTTGCGCTGAGTTTCTTCACCGCGCGAGCGCGAGCAGTCACGCAACGGTAAGTTTTCCTCACGGGACTGTCCCGTCCATTGTACGGCGAACTGAGCATAGTCTGCGCTGCGCGAAACACGCGTACAGAGTCTAGTCTCACACCTCACGTGCTCAGCGCGGTCCACGTGGAGTGTCAAGTTTCAAAAGTGAACTCGGATGTGTCGATCACGTACTACTTGCGCTTCTTCTCCGTTTTTGCCTTTTTGCACTCTCACGCATACTAGTAAGTAGTTTGTTTTCGGGTGGGGAGGTTCTGGAAAGTCGATGTCACAGGCAGACTGTCCCCAGCGAACAACTCGGAAAAGTCTATCTGTACCAGTTGTAGAGCCAGGGCCAAAGGAGTGCATATTCTGTCAGAAATTTCAGCTGGGAAAGAAGCACAAGTATCAGAAAACTTCGCAGTGCCAGTCACACAACGCTGCCCAGAAAGTGCTAGACGCAGCTAAGTTGCGGAAAGACGAGGCTGTTGTAATAGCTATTGGTTCTCTGTCTTGCCTCATAGCACGTGAAGTTCACTACCATCGGCACTGCTTCCGAGAGTACACAAGACTATTGGAGGTCGAGGATCCTGGTGACGACCTCAGGGAATTGGTGGACAGGCTCCTTCGGAGGAAAAAGTAGTTGCCCAGTTTCTTGAGGTCGTGCGTCAAGAATTGTTTGACAATTCTGCACTGCTGACCTCTGCTGATCTCCAGTCCAGCTTCCAGACCTGCTGTAACAAGGAAAGTGGCAACTTCTGCGCTCAGGTCAGAAATCGAAAACTGAAGAGCATCATTTTGAAAGAGTTTGATGGCGTTGTTAAGTTTGTCAGGCCAGCTCGCTGCAACGCCCCTGAATTGCTGTATGCTGTTAGCTCGACTGACAACTTGATCAGACAGTTTGCACTGCTGAAGGAGGAAGTTGCAGAAGATGAACCCCTAGTGCCCGCCGATCCTTATTGCAGTGAGTCTGGGGATGAGTCTGAGGATTAGTCTGAAGATGAGTCTGCCAAAGTGGAGAGTAGCCATGTCTGGACCAATGAGTGTGAGGAATGGAGAGTCTTATATCATGCAGCAAACATCCTCCGCCAATCCATCGAGCACCATGTCAAGTCCACGAAGCAAGATCTGAGCGGTGCACGGCTGTCTCCTGAGGATAGCGCACGATTAATTCCTGACAAGCTCTTTAATTTTCTTGCATGGACCCTGGACAAGGATGCCGAATTCTCGACGTGCCGCTTGCCGTCTCTTGAGAGTGTTCTGCAACGCCGTGTCCATGCCATCTGCCAGGATATTATGTTTTGCGGCACTGGTTATCGCACTCCGAAACACATTGTGCTGGGCATGGCAATCCATCACCTGTGCCGCAGTAAGCAGATAGTTACCATGTTGAATCGTCTTGGCTATTGCTGTAGCTACAGCCAGGTACTGGAGCTGGAGACTTGCTTGGCAGAGTCTTTTACACGCCATCAGCACAATCAGTCTTTCTTGCCTGCCGCCATCGACACTCGCAAGCCGTACCATTTCGTGTGAGATAACAATGACCTTTGCGAGGAGACACTGAGCGGACTTACGACTACGCACTGTACAAATGGTATCGTTGTACAGCCTTCTCTGCAGGATGAATCGGTAGCAAGTGAAGCGACTTCCATCTCTATGCCTACACTGTCAACGTCAAAGCGAAAGCGCTCATTAACAAAGGTCCCGGAGATTCAGCCTGTGTTTGCAATGCCTGCAAGACAAAATCCACCTCCCACCAGCCTGCCTGAATCATCATACGCCTATGCTGCTGACACCCGCTCTGGTGCTGCATTGATGGACTTTGTCTGGAAGCTCTCCCGGTTCTGCCCAGATGGACAGATCAGCGAGCCTCGTGCAGTCATTGAGATTGGAGCTGCAGCTGATGGCAAGTCTCAGAGCATACCCGCGTGGACAGCATTCAATTCTCTCGCGACGAAGAACAATGTGCCTTCTAAGTCGGAGATTGGTTACTGTCCGGTGATCAATGCATCGCCAACAGAGAACCTCACTGTCTATACCCTACTATGCCGCTCCATTACCATGGCAAGGCAGGCTGATCTTCCATTCACGATGGTAGTTCTGGATCAAGCAATTTATGCCAAGGCTGTCGACATCGTGTTGCAGAGACCCCAAGAATTCCGCTCTGTGGTTCTCCGGAGTCGACTTGAAGTCAAACTTGATGACAGCATCTGTAATGTCCATGCTCTTATACACATTATTATCGATGAAATATATATGTCATGTTCTTGTGAGCCATCGAAACTGGCCTTCTGTCTACTTTTATGCGCATGACTGCTGGAATCGTAACCAATGTGCATGTACATGTTTTGTACATACTTATGACCGACTTCCTGTGCTGGAAGTCATGATTGTACATGTACAAGTACCCAGTAGAATAAAGTATGCTTTATCTCTGCGTGTGGTGAAATAGTCAGCTGCTTCCTTCATACCAGTACACTGTATTCTGATATGATAACTGTACTGTACACAATGCTGTAGTACATGTACATGTACATCACTCTATAATTATGACTATTCGCATTGATACAATAGAGTGCACGATGTGCATGATACTCCATGTACATGTATGTTTTACTAGTAGTAGTGCCAGTTGACACGAATACATACATAGTATGTACCCCTCAACAAATTTGGAGCTTCTGTGGAAGAAAATAACATGAAAAACACGCTGTTGCCATACTGTTGCTATGCGGTTGCTATGGCAACCCATGGGAAACTTTCAAATGCCAATTCCACACCGTTCCATCCCGATTCCAGGGGTGAAAAATATATCAGGCGACTCTACACGACTAGGGCTACAAGGTAAAGTACATATTTTGTTGTGCGCTCTCGGTGGAAACGAAACTTCACATTTCTCAACCCAGGCCCCCGTACTACAGTGTTTGCGTCTGTGTGTGTGTGTTGGGGGGGGGGGGGACATACATGTACCGTAATTCCCCGAATATAAGTCGCACCTTTTTACACTTACTTCATGGCCAACAAAGGGGGTGCGACTTATAATGGAGCATTTTTTATTTATTTAATTTATTTATGGATTCCCCAAAGGCCGAGGCCTAAGTCGAGGGGGTCTCCGTTCATGGCTTGCTGGGAATAGCATGACTTACTACTGAAGTGGATATATCAAAACGATGATGACATGGACCTGAAAATGAGGGTCGGTGTGACTTACAATCGAGTGCGACCTATAATCGGGGAAATGCGGTATTATGCCTATGTCTGTGCTCCCGTGCCTGCCTTCACTTCCCGATTGATCCTTTTAAGGCAGGTACTGGCTAGCCCTTTCCCAAAGATGCCAAAATATTTCGCCAAGTATGCTTTTCGCAACCATGCCACAATAAGTGAAAGTTGCTGAAATCGCATCCATATTTTCAGAAAAAGCTCAAAGGTTGCTAATATCGCAACTCAAAATGAGCCAGTTCTTGTGCATAATGATGCCAAAAACAACCAATAAAGAAGCGGAAATGGAAAACGCTGGCACAGCACGACTACCTGAGCAAAGTCAATCGTACTTGGAAGTACATATGAATGCATATGTTCACAGCGTGAAATATATTTAGGAAAATGAACAGACTTGGAATGAGTCATTGTCCTTTTTTGTTGAACCTTTGCATAGCATTCATGACATAGCAGCATGTTCTGTGCTGTGACATGAGAAGTACACCCATCATGATAATTTGATGCAATGTTTCAGCACTTCTTGTTGAAGCGGAGCATCACAGACACTTCAATGGTCTCCTCCAAGGCGTTTCCATGCAAACAGTTGCCGAAAAGTTGCGAAGTAGTTTGCAAAAATGAAGAAAGTTGCGAAAGTTGCGATTTCTTCCAAAACAAAAAAAAGTTGCGAAAAAAGTGGCGAGCATCTTAGGGAAAGGGCTAGTACTGGTGCACAGACGAAGGCATAATACCCCCCCCCCCCTCCCAAACACACACACACAGATACAAACACTGTCAAACAGACACACACACACGCACACACACACGCACGCACACACACACGCACACACACACACGCACACACACACACACACACACACACACACACACGCATACGTTGTTTGATACCCTTGTTCTGACGTCATTATTATCGGTGTATACTGTACTGTGTTTTGGTGTATCATCCAGGAGCCCCGTTCACCAAGGAGGAATTGCGCGCACACATGTCACACCGGAGAAGTGTTGCTCAAGGTATGTTTGAACTTTGAAGCCGTCTTGTCTATTGTTGTTCTTCTTGTCTATAGCTGTTGTTGGTGTCACCATTGTTGGCGGTGTTGTTGTTGTTGATATTTCTGTCTCTGTTTGCGTTGCTGAAGTTTGGTGCCAGTGGTGGTGTTTGGTGCTGATGCTGGTGGTGGTCATGATGATGGCGGCGGTGCTGGTGCTGGTATGGTGGTGGTGGTCATGGTGATGGCGGCGGTGCGGGCGGCGGTGGTGGTGCATACAGGCCAACCCTCCCGGTTTTTCCCGGGGAAATCCCGGGCAAGCCTCAGGAAAGTCACATCTTTGTCTGATGCTGGTTTTTCCTGAAAACTCCAGTGACTCGCCTCCTGTCCAATGTTCCGATTTTTTCAAAAATATGCACGGTGTGCACTCGCACTTTCGAACTCTGCAAGGCACTTTCAAAACCTGACCATCCTAGCCTGTCTGATCTGTATCGACAGGCACGGTGTTGTAGGCGCTGCCGACTGATCGGACTGTGCTGTACGCATAGTCCAGAATCCCGGGCCGTCGAATGTTTTTTTGGCGGGAAAAGCTCTTTCTCTGGTGTTTTTGTGCCATCCTGGGATTTTGAGCAAATTCCAGGGATTCTTCACAGTGTCTGGTCAAGGGATTGGGATTTTTGTGGTTGGCCAGTATGGTGATGTTGCTGGTGGTGATGCTGATGGTGATGCTGGTGGATGTGGTGGTGGTGGTGCTGCTGCTGCTGCTGCTGCTGCTGCTGGTGGTGCTACTGGTGGTGGTGCTGCTGGTGCTGGTGGTGGTGCTGAGGGTGATGGTGGTGATGGTGGTGCTGAGGCCGGTGCTGGTGCTGCTGGTGCTGTTGTTGTTGCCGCTGGTGCAGCTGCGACTGTTTTTGTTTTTGCTTCTGTTGCTGTCGTCGTTGTGGTCGTAGCCATCGCTGCCGCTGCTGCCGCTGCTGCTGCTCATACTTGCTATAGTTCTTTTATGTGAGCCTCCTGGTGCTGTTTCTGTTGTTTTTTCTTTCTGCTTGGTGCGACACGCAGAGACGTCCAGGGCCCTGATGGGACTTCCCCCGTCGCAAACCTCTCTGGACGACGGCACCTCGCCCGTGTTTGAACCGGTCGCCGATGGCGACGCCAGCATCAGTAGCCATCACCACAGTGACAGTGCACAGAGCCACGGGTCGCCGAAGGCTGCGACGACTTTGTCTCCGCACAGTCCCGGAGGCGCCAACTCTGCTGGTGCTGCCGCCGTTTCCCGTTCCGCGGAGTCCTCGCCGGATGGTGGAGGTGACGGCGCGTTTGTACGTCTCTCCTACCAGCGCAGCTCCAGCAAGGTCATGTCTCCCCTGGCACTTGCCGACGGCGGTGGCGGCTCTGCCGTTGGCATGACAACGCCGGGCGGTCACGTGACGTCGCCAAGGGAACGCCACAGCGCACGGCACAGCGGCGCCGGTGTTGCGGCGGTGTCTGGCTTTGTACTCGACAACAACGGTGGTGGTGGTGCCGCCACTCCCACCACTCCCGTTCTCACCGTCCGCCGCCTGGAGCAGCTCAGTGCATCCTCTCGGCACTCCTCGGCTGCATCGTCCCTGGCAACCACACCGTTGCCACTGGAGACGGCGGACGGCAGACAATTGTCGTCGTCCAGTCCGCCGCGTCATCATTCGACGGCGAGTGACTGCTCTAGCTCGAGCAATGCCAGCGGACAGGCTGTGCTAGCAAGGGGTTAGGATGGACTACATAATGGTGTGTGTATGTATGTGTCAACGTGAACATCCACATGTGTGTCCACGTGCCTGCATGCATATCCATGTGCCCTTGCCCGTATGTCCACGTGCATACGCATGTGTGCATATTGTGTGTGTTCACGTGCTTTGTGTGTTTGCGTTCGTCCATGCTGGATTTGCCATTCATGCTTTGCTTAGTTAATATTAGCTCGCGCGCGCGCGCGCGCGTGTGTGTGTGTGTGTGTGTGTGTGTGTGTGTGTGTGTGTGTGTGTGTGTGTGTAGGTGTGCGTGGGTGCATGTGCGTGTTTATAAATAATTGATTTTCAGCTACGTGTACTTGCAGTCGTGAGCTGACATTCTAGGACAGTGTGGCGTGTGTTCCTCTTTGAGAATAGAATGCTCGGTGTGGGTTCATGTCGACAGTACGTTTCTGGGCACCGGTGTACCGCACATGCACACACATGTACAGTATTGCTCAATGAAATCCAGTCGAAATTTCTCAGGTACGCGTCGGGGCGTTGCGGCGCAGCCCGAGACCTGCGAACACTGGGCTGCGAAAAAAGGTGCACGGCGCCAGTTTGACTCTCGCGACTGGATTTCATTGAGCAGGACTCTAGTACATGACCATCAGCCAGTATACTAGTACTTTGTAGGCCGTATTCGTCATCATCAGGATTCCACCAGTGTAGTAGCCTGTAGGACTGTTGTCATGACTTCACACATAAAGACTTTAGCTCGCTGGCTGGCTCGTACGCCAGTTTCGCTCTCTGTTTTTCTCAATTTTTCCTTTCTTTTTTGTTTCTTTGTGCGGTGTATCATGCCGTGAGTTCTATTATAATATTCCGCGTCTCTTTAGATTGTTCATGTGGTGCTCGATACACGGGTGGTTTGAATTAACTGAAAATAAAATTAAAATGCTGCTCTCCATGCACGTGTGGTACATGGATAGGCCCTCCACTAGATGGACGTGACACATAGTTCTTGTCATAGATCTTCTATTTTGTGGACTGCATGCAGCCAGTGCAGGATACTCTAATTTCAGAAATTTTCGGTGCTCAATATATTCGGTATGAGGGTAACAGGCCAGGTTAGGTGAACAGAAATTTTAGGTACAGAGAAGCAGTTCCCTATTGGATTATGTATGTTAGTGTTTGTTCGGTGTATTGGAATTTTAGGTATGAAACAGACGCACCGAAAGTACCGAAAATAAAAGTACACCGAAAATTTGGGAAATTGCAGTATGCAGTTGTTTGTAATACCGTAAAGTTCCGTAAATAAGCCCCGGGCGTATACTTGGGCATGGGCGTTATTTCAGGACTGGGCATATACAGTACAAGGTGAATATTGCATCGCTTGCGTTTTCATAAGCATGCAAAACATGTTGCACACATACGCATACACAGGTACAGCATCACCCCGGGGCGGTTTTCGGGCATGGGCGAACTCACCGGCTTTGAGTATGGATGTCGATTCGATGGGTGTTATTTCGGGCATGGGCGTTATTTCGAGTGGGCGTATGCACGGAACTGTACGGTACATGTACAACAGTCAACTTGCCTATAAAATCCGGCCCATGCTGCACATGGTAGTCGACTACGTGTATACAGTGCATGCAGCACTGGCCGGATTTTTTTGGCAAATAATTGTACCGGCATGTACATCACTACATGTACTTCAAAGTACCGTATTTCCACAAATAATAGGCCGGTCTACAATTTTTTCAACCTCGTCCTAACCTGGCCTTATAATCGAGGACGGTCTTGTATTCAAGGACGGTCTTTTATTCTTTCAACCCAGTTTGACCCCGGTCTTCTATTTTTCGCCACACAGTTTCACCCCCAGTCTTCCATTTTCTTCTACACAGTTTGAGCACGGTCTTCTACTTTTACCCACAGTTTGAGCACGGTCTTCTATTTTAAACACAAGTTTGAGACTCATTTAGTAGGCCCGGTCTTCTAATCGGAGACGGTCTTTTATTTTTTCAATCGCCCCCTTGCCCCGGCCTTGTATACGAGGAAGGCGTTGTATACGAGGACGGCCTTTTATTTGCGGAAATACGGTAATAGAGGCTGATTATGATGCTGATTATCAGTCATGTACATGCATGGCTCAGTAACAGATGGTGAGAGCATTGTACAGTCGTCCCTCTCTAATCCGGCACCTTTTGCAACGGCATTTTCTGCTGGATAAACAAGGGTGCTGGATTATCAAATCCTGCTCTCCTACCCGGCCCACATGTTAACATACATGTTTGTGTCGTACGTCCAAATGTAGGGATTTTCTGTGTCAATCCAAGTACATGTACTTTGTGGAATGCATGTATTTAACATACACTTGCCGGGAATATCCTATGCACTGGCATAGGATATTCCCAAGTGGATGTTACATGTGTTGTGTATGTTACAATGGTCCCTGACAGTATGCGATGTACAACTGCTGGATTAGAAAATCGAATTACGTACAGTTTGAGTGATTTGTTGCCGAAAATCGCTGCTTGAGGCGGAATTCAAGTGCCGGATTAAAGCATAGAAAATAAAAATCCGTTTTGCCAGAAAGTGTGCTGGTTTGCATGGGTGCTGGATAAACAAGCGCCGGATCAGAGAGGGACGACTGTGCCAAGAGTGCATTATGGCCTCTACATGTGAAGACAATAATTTTAAATAATTTATTATGCTCATGCACTGGCCAGGTTATGGCTGTACCGTATTTCCCCGAATATTAGTCACACCTTTTTACACCTGAATGCTATTTCATTTTTGGCAGCAGACAGATGGAACATGCTTCCACCTATGTCGTCAAGCTAAGCCCCTTTCTGCATTTGTCACAAGCACCAAGTCATTCCTAGGGTTCCCAGTAAAAAGGCAACGCCTGTTGGGAGTTCCCTAGTAAAATAATAAATTCTACTACTACTACTACTACACCTATATAAACTTCATGGCCATCAAAAGGGGTTCCCCTTTCGAGCATGACATACATGTACTAGTACTGATGTGACTAGATTGAAACAATAATAATTATTATGACATGAACCTGGAAGTGGGGGTGCGAACTACAGTCGAGGGCGACTTACAAACAGTATTCTCGGTGACACTAGTAGTAGTAGATCTACTATTGTAGTACTGCTTGAGTGAGAGCTGGTATGGGGCGCAGACGGCAGGTTGCAGCCTCCTTTCCAGCAGGTGTCACCCACTACACGACACAGAGTCAGTGTATCACGATGGCTCTCACTCTCAGCTCACTCATATCAGTCTGAGGCCAGTGAGGGGCCCCATTTTTGACAATAAATTGTCTGTACTGACGGTTGCTTTGTTCCATTCACTTGCTCTCTCAGCCGTCTCCTTTCCTCGGGCCATCTCTACTTGTCTTCTAAGACAATTGCCAATTTTCGCAGGCTTTCATGGTGTAGATCGATCACTCTTCACTCTAATCATGAATACATGATCGGCACAGCACTGCTCTGGTCATGATCGATCATGATGGTTACGACCCGAACGACAGCTTGCCACAGCCAAACCCTTGCCATGCCCCCATGATCCAGCTCGCTCAGCTGAGCTCATGAGACTCATCGTCGCATATTCGCATGCCTTTTGAATTATTTTCCTGTGGTTTTGTGCACGTGGATGTTTACGTTTCGGCGTGCTTGTTTCGGGGCCGACGTCGTGTTGGCGCGGCGTTGGAACCAAGCAGGTTTATCGTGGGGTATCTAGAAATCCAAAGCAAAAGCGTAGGATTATCTGTCACTTGCATGTGGGGTGGTGGCACTGGGTAGAAAATAGGGCGATTTAGAACGGTTTTTCTGGCATCATCCACGGATGTCCCGAGGGAATGCATGCAACTCGGGAAGCAGCGACTCGTACGATCGGGGTCCCGCACGGTACAGAAAACAGCATGCCGGTTGTTCGATCCAGGTGGCACGCTGCATGGTGCAGTACAGGAATCACACGTCGCCTATCCAAAATAGTGCATGATTGATTGTAGAGACAAGCCAAGGATCTGGAGAGCCAAGACTTGGCAAGAGTAGCATTTCTCCACCCAGCCGTCACACTCACAGCAAAAAGGCAAGTCGAATTCTTGAACGCCACCATTTGGAGATGAGCGGAGCAGAAGAGCCGAACGCCAAACGAAGCCCAAACATGACGGAGGTCAAGTTCACGAAGGTGAGAGAAAAAGATAAAGAGCCACACTGCATTCAACCTAGCTATTGTGGTGACCGTCGTTTCATATCAGGGATTTGTCGTAAATGTTGTACTCACAATAATATTTATTGTTTTCCGTAGTTCCGTGACTTCGTTTCGCAGCAGGAGCTACGTTTTTGTCCTGGTGCTGTGCCGGGTCCGGGGCTAGGGGCTCGACTTGTGAGGACTTCAAATTGTGCTGATGGTTGTTGTTGCGTACGTGGGGCACTTTGTTGTTGGGGCAGCTCCGCGATGCGTTTTGCGTAGCTGCCATGCCGTCTCACTGTACTTTGCGTGTTCGGCTGATTTCGCTGTTTTGGTCTGAGCTCTGTGTACTGTAACCCTGCGCTGAAATTAGCTTGGTAGGTCTACTTTCAATAATTAGTTCAAGGGGGGAGCTCGTCTCTTTCCGCAGCTTGCGGATAGTTGGTCTTTGGCTGCGTAATTCCTTCGACCAAATGTAGGCTTGAATTCTGGAGTCCGAAACGGAAGTAATAAAAAAATAGTTGGGCTAGTTGAGAATGTAGGCATAGGGGCTAGGGCACTGCGAAACCCTGAAAATGCTGGGTACATCTACGCGGTGCCGGGTGGTGTTTACTTTCGTCCTCATTCGCTTTCGTCTTGTTCCATCCTGCCGCGCCTGATCTCAGCCATGCTTGCGGAGCTGCTTTTAGTCTAGATCCGTGAATGATTGACGGCTTATTTGACGCGGTAGTTGGTTGCTGCCAAGCTAGATTTGGCCCACGTTGTCTCTGTATGGCGAAACAAATCTCCGTATAAAGGCGGAACAAGCCATGTTTTTTGGGAAGGAGGGAAGAAGGCCCGGCTGGCTTTGTCAAGTTTTTCTAGTTCAAGGCGAGATAAATGGGCTCAGCGTGCGTGCCGACCGCACTGGGTCAGTTTGGCGCGCGTTCGTCAAGTGGCACTACAAATTTACTAGTTTTTTTTGTGAATTGAATTAGTTTTCAAAGTGAAGATTACTACATTCTACACTGCGTACAATCACGACCTACATTGTACATGTAGCTAGCTCCATCAGCATAGTCATGATCAATGTCCAGTCTCCTTTCACAGCTGCCATTCTCTTGTAGTTGTACTGCATACGAGTATGCACTTGGCCCACTGGTAGCAATGCAGCAGCAGCAGCAGCAGGGTTCTCGCCAAAGCAGCGTGGGGGGGGAGTCACCTTTTTATATGCATGATAAGTATACAGCATTGTACGAGCCATTGCATCATAATCATCGCTTACATGTACAAGTAGCTCTGAAAGCCGTATTAATGGCGGGTTCCAGTGGCTGAAGGATGAACTCAGGCACCATGATTTCCATGTCAATGTCACAGAAACTGCTCTGCGTACTCCCATCGTGCTCGTCTCAGAACTAACTGCTCCCACGCGGCTCCACGCGCTTGCTCTGCTCTCAGATCACCCCAGACGAACACGCCCTAGAAAGCGCATTATTTCCCTCTGGTAATTTAGGTGCTATTTGTGTCGACATCCTCTTTCGTGTGGCGCTGTATCTGGCTCCTGGTTGTGCATAGATTTCCACGTCACCGCCTTATAAGACTTCTCGGTCCAACCGTGCAAGCTGGGGTCATTCTAAATCCATAACTGGCTACGATTTCGAGGTGGTTGTAGTCAGATTTTGAATGTGAAGTTTTTGCATTTAATATTTCCACATCACTGCCTTATAAGAACTCTCAGTCCAAACGTGCAAGCTGGGGTCGTTCTGAATCCATAACGGGGCGAATTTTTTAAATTTATCATTTGACGCTTTTCGCAGTTTTAGACACATGGAAACTCTTCATTTTATTGTGACATGTCAGCCAGTAAAGTGCAACCCCAAGTACACTTTTTTTTGCCCGTACCCATGGCTCGTTTAAAAGTGTCAGCCAGTGAAATCCAACCCAAGGTGCACTTTTTTGTCCCTGGACCATGTGTTGCTAGGTGTCGGCCAGTAAAATCCAACCCCAGGTGCACTTTTTGTCGCTAATTTTCAGTTGGAAATAGTGCATCGGATAGTGTGCGCTGCACTCCGACATGGCAGATACGGTAGCTCAGTAGATTATGCGTCCGCCTGTTTGTCCACGCGCCCACGTCCATCTCTCCGTATGGATATCGGATCTTCAATGAAATGAATGTGGATGCATGTGTGTGTGTGTGTGTGTGTGTGTGTGTGTGTGTGTGTGTGTGTGTGTGTGTGTGTGGTGGCGTCGTCCTGCGCGCGCCCGTTCGTGTAGATTGGCTCTCTACTCGGACGTCTATCTAGTAAGCCCTTAGTACAATGGCGAGAAAGGAGACGAGGAGAAAGAGGAGACGGAGGTCGTGGATAAAATTTGGCTCGTGGAATGTCCGCAGTCTGGTCGCAGGACCTCACCCGCCACCGAAGACAGAAACACTAGCTATGTGTAGAACGGTCCCCTTTCACCTCAATTATTCTCCTTGTTTCTTTTTTCTCGCTGTTGTCTCCCGCTTCTGGGAGCGACGTGGCCATTTTGTGGCAGTTGTACATAGTAGTAGTAGTGTGTGTGTGTGTGTGTGCGTGTGTACGTGTGTGTGCGTGTGTACGTGTGTGTGTGTGTGTGTGTGTGTGTGTGTGTGTGTGTGTGTGTGTGTGTGTGTGTGTGTAGATCTTTATCAACAATGAGTGGCGTGACTCGGTCAGTGGGAAGACGTTCCCCAACATCAACCCGTGCACTGGGGATCTGCTGTGTGACGTGGCTGAGGGAGATAAGGTCAGTAGGGAACCGATGTGTGTGTGGGTGGGTGTGGGTGTGCGTGTTTGTGTGTATGTGCGTGTGCGTGTGCGTGTGTGTGTGTGTGTGTGTGTGTGTGTGTGTGTGTGTGTGTGTGTGTGTGTGTGTGAATGTCGTGTGTGTACTTGTGGGCACCGCATGCTTGTGCCAGCTGCTATTGCCAGTGTGTGCGTGCGTGCATGTGTGTGTGTGTGGGGGGGGGCATATAGGTGGGTTCGGGTGTGCGTTCGCTCACAGTTTGTAGCTGAGGTCTTTGTTAATTTCTTTTCCATTGTTGTCTTTGTTGGTGATTCTTTTTCGGCTCCAGCTATTACAGCTGCTGTCACTCTCTTGTTTGGAACTAACGTTGGCATGTGCACACCCACACGCACCCACACATACACGATGTACGTACGCGCACACGTGTACACACACGCACTCTCTCTCTCTCTCTCCCTCTCTTGTATGCTTTAGGCTGATGTCGACATTGCTGTGAAGGCTGCACGCGAAGCGTTCAAGCTCGACAGCCCATGGCGGAGCATGGACGCTTCCGATCGTGGTCTGCTTATCTCCAAGCTCGCTGATCTGATTGAGCGTGATGCTGAATATATTGCTGTAAGTATTAACCACCAGAACTCCTATAAATACTTGGCATTCAATGGTTTGAGGGAAAGATGCGAACGGGAAAAGTCTGAAGGAAAAATTGACTGCCACCACCAGGACTCGAACCAGGGACCCTCGCTCGAGACCAGCGATGCTCTAACCACTGAGCTACGGGGTAGATGTCATCCCAGCAGAGACCGTTCAACATAATACTTGGTTATATCTATCAAGACTGGTTCCGGTGTAGGTACATGATCCTGCCCTAAATGGGGTATTATTTGTACCTTTTTGTGCGGTTTTTACCCTGTGCCCGGTTTTTTCTAGGGGAAAATAATTTTTGGGTCCTCATTGATCTGTGTGATAGAGCCCTATGATTTTACCCCTTCCCCTGCTGGTGTTTACGTAGTGACACAGTCAGACATCGCTTATCCGTCCTCTTTTATCCGGATCCTTCGCCATCCGGAAGAAAATCGTTGGTTGCCGATTCACAGCATATGTCATGCATACACACAGTATGTGTGTTCGATTATCCGGTTCCCTCGCCTATCCGGATATTTTTTTGTTAAGCGGGGTCTGACTGTAATGACGAATTTGAGCGACTCTCATGGTCCTCTGAAAACCCCGACAACCCGCGAGAGCATGCATACTCTAGCCTACGTGCATGTCGGGAGTATTCAGGCTTGGGCCTGTTAGCGTTCGTTGTGCATTGCGCTGTCCGGGACCAAATTTTATCGCAAACTCTCACTCGCTCAAGTGCGCCTTGTCCGTTTCATGTAAACAAAATTTAAAAGCACTTCTCTGCTGACTGCTAATGCTGGAAAATCTGTTTGTTTGGGACTACCTCAGATGGTCCCAGGACACCAGTGTTGATACACGATGGCTTGTGTGGCACTTTTCCTCAGGTTGTTATTAGCGGTAATTGTGCTTGCTTTGGTACTTAACAACGTGTTTTTTGTGGCTGTTCTGCTCTCTGCTTCTCTCTCTTTTTCTCTCTCTCTATTTCTCTGACATACACACACGCGTACGCATGCACACGCACACGCGCGCACGCATGCACACACACACACACACACACACACACACACACCTGCTTAGCACCTGGAAACACTGGACAATGGCAAGCCAGTCAAGGATGCCAGGGGTGACGTCGGTCTCTCCGTCAAATGCTACAGGTACTGCCCAGCTGTACGGTGATGTGCTTTTTGTGCGAACTTTCACGCTAGGCAACACTATGTCAATGTCTGCTCTAGGATTGTAGGACAGCCGGGTACACGTGTACCTGGCGCAACCATTTCAACCGGGTCGGAGCCGGGTACACATGTACCTGGCGCTGTCTCACCAGCCGAGTAACATGCTTTTAACGGGAACTAGGCCCAATGATATAAAGGCGAATGGATAAGCCGCATTTAGAAAAGAGAGGACAGAAATTAGAAAATTACGAAAGAAGAAGAAGTATCTGACACATACAAGCACGAGTACATAACCCCCCGGCGGGTTATGTACCCTTGATACAAGCCATGTAGTCAGTCCTTTCAAAGTTCGAAAGTGTGAAGTACCAACCGGGTCACAGGTGACCCGGTACTATATTTTCAACCGGGTCCAAGCGCCGCGCAACCGGGTGGATTACCCGGCTCACCCAGCGCTGGAGCAAACACTGTATGTGTGCCTGAACTTTGCCGAAGGTGCAGCTACGCCCTTGCTCACGATACAGCTCCACGTTGCTCAGCGCACAGCGCACAGCAAGCTCTCTTTCTTTCTTTCTTTCTTTCTTTCTTTTTGAATGAGATTAAAAAAACATTTTCCAAGCACTCACATCCTCCACTGCAGCTGTTTACACGTTAGATTACCTCAACTGAAACATGGTCTCTTTGCTGCACACGTCACTTAAACTGCTCACACCAATTCCCAGGCCAGGGGAGAGTGATTTTAACCGTTTAATAATGGGTTTTAATTTTTAAAGGATTGTGAGCAACACTGGCTCACACTTAATAACCATCACATCCCACTCGTGCCCAATTCACTCCCGATGATGGTTGTTTCATGACCGAAACACGTTGAAATATTTTCCTGAGATGGATCTGTGAATTTCTGTGATTGAGCGTGCGAGCCAGCGTTGCTCACGACTCTTTCCTACTAGTTTAGAAGTTGCGTGAAGCGTCCTTCAGGATTCTAAGTTTGAAGGGTTGCTCGTGATCCAAGGTCCTATGACTGGAAAGGATATGTTTTGCATACATTATATTTGATGCTAAGAGAAAAGAAGGCGTCGTCTCCAACCGACCTATACTGAAGTTTGACGGTAATCGAATTTGATTGGATTTGTCGTGTGTGTGTGTGTGTACGTGTGTGTGTGTGTACGTGTGTATACGTGTGTGTGTGTGCATGCGTGTGTGTGTGCATGCGTGCGTGTGTGCATGTGTGTGTGTACGTGTGTGTACGACTGTACATGTTTGTTCAGATACTACGCTGGTTGGTGTGATAAGATCCAGGGCAAGACCATTCCTATCGGTATGTTGTGTTCTACTTTCTAAGCTACAGTACGTCCTTGCCAGCACTCAGCACATTGAACACCTTGAACACACTCACGCACGCATGTTGTTGTCACTGTCACTGTTGCCGCTGATGGTTTTGTAGCGCTTGCTGTTGTTGCGTTTCCTTTCCTGACGGTAATGGTGTGTGTGTGTGTGCGTGTGTGTGTGTGTGTGTGTCGGTGCATACCTGTTGTTCTGCCTGTTTGTGTTGCACGTGAACAGACGGAGACTTTTTCTGCTACACTCGCCATGAGCCGATCGGCGTTGTCGGTCAAATCATTCCCGTGAGTTTAGGAGTGGCTTGCCGGCACATGAGACACATTGGAACGAATATGCCTGTCGTGTGTGTACGTGTGTGTGTGTGTGTGTGTGTGTGTCCTATGTTGGATGTCCTGTGTACTTACGTACTTGTTTATGCGTCTGTTGTCAATCTTTGGCTGTCTGTCCGCCCGCCCGTCTATCTGTCTGTCTGTCTGTCTGTCATTATCATTCTGAAAAAGGCAATCGTCGAACCCTTAACACAATCAGTGTCAATCAGTCTAGTTATGCTCCTGCTGTGTGGTGTGCCTATCTGCCAGTTCATTTTGTGAATCGTTTGGCCGGACCTGTGCTGGTTTGTTATCGTATGGATATCAAGCTTTTGCTGAACTGTTTGTCTGTCCGTCTGTCTGTCTGTCCGTCTGTCTCCCTCTGTCTGACCAGTGGAACTTCCCGTTGCTGATGCAAGCCTGGAAGCTCGCCCCGGCACTCTGCTGCGGCAACACGATTGTGATGAAGCCGGCCGAGCAGACCCCGCTGTCCGCTCTCTACATTGGCTCACTGTGTGCGGAGGTAAGTAAGCCTGAGACCCAGAGCTAGATTATTAACAACGATACAGGGAACCTGTCCAAGACGAATGCATCACCCGGCCGAAGATACTCTGCACCCCATGCTCGCCTACGCTGCACCCTGTAATCGCATAAGGCGTATGTGGTGGCAATGTACCTTGAAAATCAGGCTGCTATGTGATAGAGGCTTTTACACAAGACACTACGGTAGTCTAAGCAAGTTCTCTTCATCCTGTTGTGGTCATAGAGACCTATCGGTGATCTTATTGGCTGATACGCACAGCCAGCAAGTGGTCCGTACTTTTCCCAGGTTGATGCGTGCACATCTGTCTAGTTCGGTGGATGATGAGTCGAGTATGTGTGTGTGTGTGTGTGTGTGTGTGTGTGTGTGCATGTGTGTGTGCGCGTGTGTGTGTGTGTGCATGTGTGTGTGCGCGTGTGTGTGTGCGTGTGTGTGTGTGTGTGCATATGTGCGTGTGCGTGTGTGTGCGTACATGTGTCAGGCTGGATTCCCGACCGGAGTGGTGAACATCGTGCCAGGCTACGGTCCAACAGCCGGTGCTGCTATCTCTGAACATTACGATGTGGACAAAGTGGCTTTCACCGGATCCACAGAGGTATGTGCATTGCTGGTATGCTAGTTGCGTATTTTCCGGAGTATAAGCCGCACCCAACGGACCCAGTGCGCAATGACGTAATTTGTACCATAAACACCCCACACAGCCACCTGGGCATGGTCTTCTGGGGTGTTGAACAGTGCATTGCTGATCCCAGTGTACTCACATAACACCCCACACAGCCACCTGAGCATGGTCGTCTGGGGTGTTGAACAGTGCATTGCTGATCCCAGTGTACTCACATAACACCCCACGCAGCCACCTGGGCATGGTCGTCTGGGGTGTTGAACAGTGCATTGCTGATCCCAGTGTACTCACATAACACCCCACACAGCCACCTGGGCATGGTCGTCTGGGGTGTTGAACAGTGCATTGCTGATCCCAGTGTACTCACATAACACCCCACGCAGCCACCTGGGCATGGTCGTCTGGGGTGTGGAACAGTGCATTGCTGATCCCAGCGTACTCACATAACACCCCACGCAGCCACCTGGGCATGGTCGTCTGGGGTGTTGAACAGTGCATTGCTGATCCCAGCGTACTCACATAACACCCCACACAGACACCTGGGCATGGTCGTCTGGGGTGTTGAACAGTGCATTGCTGATCCCAGCGTACTCACATAACACCCCACGCAGACACCTGGGCATGGTCGTCTGGGGTGTTTAACAGTGCATTGCTGATCCCAGCGTACTCACATGCATTACTCGTATAGTGCTGGCAACTGAAATCCGACCCCTGAGCGGTGCGCTCACATCGCAAAGTCCCAACACGGGATTGCAACACTACGAAACAGAGACCGCTAGAATGTGAGCGCACCGCTCAGGGGTCGGATTTCAGTTGCCAGCGCTGGGCATGGTCGTCTGGGGTGTTTAACAGTGCATTGCTGATCCCAGTGTACTCACATAACACCCCACGCAGACACCTGGGCATGGTCGTCTGGGGTGTTGAACAGTGCATTGCTGATCCCAGTGTACTCACATAACACCCCACACAGCCACCTGGGCATGGTCGTCTGCGGTGTTGAACAGTGCATTGCTGATCCCAGTGTACTCACATAACACCCCACACAGCCACCTGGGCATGGTCGTCTGGGGTGTTGAACAGTGCATTGCTGATCCCAGTGTACTCACATAACACCCCACACAGCCACCTGGGCATGGTCGTCTGGGGTGTGGAACAGTGCATTGCTGATCCCAGCGTACTCACATAACACCCCACGCAGACACCTGGGCATGGTCGTCTGGGGTGTTGAACAGTGCATTGCTGATCCCGGCGTACTCACATAACACCCCACGCAGACACCTGGGCATGGTCGTCTGGGGTGTTGAACAGTGCATTGCTGATCCCAGCGTACTCACATAACACCCCACGCAGACACCTGGGCATGGTCGTCTGGGGTGTTTAACAGTGCATTGCTGATCCCAGCGTACTCACATGCATTACTCGTATAGTGCTGGCAACTGAAATCCGACCCCTGAGCGGTGCGCTCACATCGCAAAGTCCCAACACGGGATTGCAACACTACGAAACAGAGACCGCTAGAATGTGAGCGCACCGCTCAGGGGTCGGATTTCAGTTGCCAGCGCTGGGCATGGTCGTCTGGGGTGTTTAACAGTGCATTGCTGATCCCAGTGTACTCACATAACACCCCACGCAGACACCTGGGCATGGTCGTCTGGGGTGTTGAACAGTGCATTGCTGATCCCAGTGTACTCACATAACACCCCACACAGCCACCTGGGCATGGTCGTCTGCGGTGTTGAACAGTGCATTGCTGATCCCAGTGTACTCACATAACACCCCACACAGCCACCTGGGCATGGTCGTCTGGGGTGTTGAACAGTGCATTGCTGATCCCAGTGTACTCACATAACACCCCACACAGCCACCTGGGCGTGGTCGTCTGGGGTGTTGAACAGTGCATTGCTGATCCCAGTGTACTCACATAACACCCCACACAGCCACCTGGGCATGGTCGTCTGGGGTGTTGAACAGTGCATTGCTGATCCCAGCGTACTCACATAATACCCCACACAGCCACCTGGGCATGGTCGTCTGGGGTGTTGAACAGTGCATTGCTGATCCCAGCGTACTCGCAAGCATTACTCGTACATTCCATATTTGGCAATGCACCATGGGTCCATTTTTTTGTCAAGAAATACAGACATCCTACCCTATTTACCACTGTTAATTTGATAATCGGAGTAAAAGCCGCACCCCCGTTTTTTGGGTGAATTTTGAGTGCTCAAAGTGCGGCTTATGCTCCGGAAAATACCGTAGTCTATCCAGTAGACCCGCGCTAACCGGACACCCTTGGTACAGCGGAAACTGTCCTGATATCACAGGATTCCGCTTGATCCATGCATGCACGCTCCATCCACAGCACTTCGGTGCATGGGATTTTGTATGGTTAGCAATACGATCTGCCCCGACTGCACGGCCTTTGTGCATCGGGAACTCTCTTGATATGACGGACTCCGCTTGGTACAGGTATGCACGTTCGATCCACGGCACTTTGGTGCATGGAAATTAACTTGTCCGGTCAATACAGGATTCCGCTGGTTACAGTGTCCAGCAAACCCAGGTTTTACTCTACATTGGTTTTGATGAACGTCGATCACCATTGTGAATACAGATATTGATTTCACATCTTTGTTGTGTGGCTTATTGCCGTGCCTTGGGATGTCTTGTTCTTGTTGTCGATTTTTCTCGCAATCCTCCCACCGCTTCAGGAGCTTTGGCGCCTTGAGCTACAGAGGGTGGTGGCGGAGAACTCCTCGGCCTCCAGCCTAGTCTAAGGGCGCGTGTGGTTGGTACGAACTAGAACAGGATTCACCAGAACAGCGCGTTTGGTTGGGACTGCACCTGTTCTGGGTCGGCCAGAACATGTTCTGCTTGCTCCGGCCTCGAGGCCGGAGCAGACCGAGCAGTTTCATTTTTTCACAGTGAAACCTGGCGGGAACATCGATTTTGGTCCCAAATGATCACGTGCATACGCTTTTGGGTTAGACTCGTCGTACCGTACACAGTCACCATGGTGACCCATACACATTTTGAAGAATGCACCAAGTTTGGCATATTTTTGACAAAATATGCTCTGTTTCTGGAGTACCGTTTGGTTGGCATGAGGCTGCTCCACGTGCACCAGCTGTTCGATCCTGTTCTAGATCGTACCAACCAAACGCACCCTCACACGTACCATGAATTTTGTCTCTTTTTTTCTTGCATTGGTACAGGTCGGTCATATAATTATGCAAGCAGCTGGTAAGACCAATCTCAAGAACGTCACCTTGGAGCTGGGCGGAAAGAGTCCTAACATCATCTTTGCTGATGCCGACTGTAAGGACTTGGGTGCTCCTTGGGTGTGAGTGAGGGGAGAGAGAGAGAGAGAGAGAGAGAGAGAGAGAGAGAGAGAGAGAGAGAGAGAGAGAGAGAGAGACTTTTCCCGACGCAGAGGTAGTCAGGTCAGCTCGCTTCTATCGAAATCTATCGTTGCTCCGCCTGCTTGCTGGTTGTGTTAGGTCTGAAATTGCTGTACTTTTCTCTCTGCGTTTGTGTGTGTGTGTGTGCTCGTGTGTGCTCGTGTGTGCTCGTGTGTGTGTGTGTGTGTGTGTGTGTGTGTGTGTGTGTGTGTGTGTGCTCGTGTGTATGTGTGTATGTGTGTGTGTGTGTGTGTGTGTGTGTGTGTATGTGTCTACTTGTGCAGTGGATCATGCCGTTGAGACCGCTCACTTTGCTCTCTTCTTCAACCAAGGACAGTGTTGCTGTGCTGGATCACGTACGTTTGTTGAAGAAAGCATTTACGACGAGTTTGTGCGACGCTCAGTGGAGCGTGCCCGCAAGAGAAAGGTCGGAGATCCACTGGCTGACGAAAGCGAGCAAGGACCTCAGGTAAATATGTGCGTGTGGGTGTGGGTGTGGGTGTTTCCACGTGTGTGTCCACGTATGTGTGTGGGTGCGTGTGTGTGTGTGTGTGTGTGTGTGTGTGTGTGTGTGCGTAATGCACGTACGTTAAACTAATGCTTTTGAGTCGTACACAGGTGCGTTTTGCAGAGTGTCTTGATGTACATGTACACTGCATATAAACTCATTGCACTTCTTCTCCGGGTGGTGGTGCTGCTGCTGGTGCTGCTGCTGGTGGTGGTGATGATGGTGATGGTGGTGGTGGTGCTGCTGCTGCTGGTGTTGTTGTTGTTGTTATTGTTGTCCATTTTCTTGATATAAAATGTTTCTCTTGCTGCAGGTGGACCAAGTTCAATTCACGAAGATTTTGGATCTGATCGACTCTGGCAAGAAGGAGGGTGCTAAGTTGGAGTGTGGCGGTAAACGTCATGGAGACAAGGGTTTCTTCATTCAACCAACTGTCTTCTCCGGTGTCGAAGATGATATGAGAATTGCCAAAGAAGAGGTTAGGGGAGTGTTCTGTAATCCGTGTGTGTGTGTGTGTGTGTGTGTGTGTCACAAGTTGCTATGTCCAACATAGCTGTTCGCTATCATCGCTTCCGCAATGGGCATGTCTGAGTGTGTGTGTGTGTGTGTGTGTGTGTGTGTGTCTCTCTCTCTCTTTCTCTCTCTCTCTCTGTGACCTCAAGTCGTTTGTGTCGCGTAACACAGCCCTGTCCGTGTGGTGTAGACCAGGGCAGGGCTGTGGTGACCTCCGCCAGTGGCCTTGCAAGCTACTGCGGAGTTGTTGTTGCGCACTGACTGCACAACTAGTCGGAAAGTTCATTTTGAGAAAGAGCAGTGTGTGCGATTGTGTGCGCTTGTGTGCGTGCTCGTGTGTGTGTTTGCATATCTGTGTTTGTACGTGGGTTTGTCCGTCCCCAGCTCACACATCCATCTTATCCTTTTGTTGTGTGTGCGAACGGGCGTTTGCGTGTGCGTTCGTACTCGTTCATACGTGCGTTTTGTGTGCTCGCGCTGTAGATCTTCGGTCCAGTGATGCAGATTATGAAGTTCAAGACCATTGAGGAGGTGATCGACAGGGCCAACAAGACTGTGTATGGATTGGCTGCCTCCGTCTTCACCAAGGACATCGACAAGGCTCTGCGCGTAGCTCATGCCGTTCGCGCAGGCAGCATGTGGTGCGTCGTAGCGGCTTTAGGGGCTTTCTCTTGCTTCAGTGACTGTGTGTTTGATCTGTGTGGTTGCTATGGTAGGCTTTGCCGTGTGGAGTGTTTCGCACTCGGACTCCTTCTCTCTTTTCTTAGTATTCACTATGTATTCCGTCGTTATCGTCATCGTCATTCAGGTGATCGCACCAAGCCTCACCCAACTTTTCAACATGTCCCTGAAATCAGGTATCGTTCCTCGGGTCTCTCTCTCTCTCTCTCTCTCTCTCTCAGAAGGATGTCTAATGCCTGCAACTGCTTGGTTTCTGCTGTGTGCGTGTGTGTATGCGATGTACGACATCCCAGGGTGAACACGTACGATGTGTTCCGCTGCAATGCTCCGTTTGGTGGCTTCAAGATGTCCGGTGTTGGTCGTGAGCTGTAAGTTCGCTGGTTCTGTATAAGCAGAAATATTCCTTTGGAATTTAATTTGGTCATTTTGGTCTATGACATTTTTCGACTCAATTAAATTCCGGACATATTGATTTGTCCAGATTTTCAATACACTCTTATCTGGTCCTCGGACTAAATTTTCAACCGGACAGACTCGGTGCCTGGGTCTGTGTTCATAGATGGACAGACAGCCTTACGCACACCTTGCAGAAGAAATTTAACAGTATTATGGTACGTGTGTATGTGCATTGCACACGCATGTGTGTGTGTGTGTGTGTGTGTGTGTGTGTGTGTGTGTGTGTGTGTGTGTGTACATGTCTGTTCGTGCACTCGCATTCACTCGTGTGTGTGTTTGTTTGCCTATTCCACTACAGTGGTGAATATGGCCTACAACAGTACTCGGAGATCAAGACGGTAAGTCTGGTAGGATGCCGATCTATCGCATAATTTAACTCGGATGGTGACGTTTAGTCATAACTCGTAACATTTTGTCCTCCTTTTTTTACTCTCATAATTATTATTTTGCCGTCCCAGCTATATCCCAGCAGGATCATTCGCAGCATTACCCTGTCCCGACTGTATGCCGGTATCTCTGCAGCACGGGTTTTGATCTACACTTGGTGCACTGTGTTAACGTTGAACTGCACCACTACAAGCATGTGTTCAGTCAGACCTCGCTTTTAACTGCACACATCTGTTTTCCACGAAAAACAATATCCGGATAGGCGAGGGAACCGGATAATCGAACACACATACTGTATGTATGCATGGCATATGCTGTAAATCGGTAACCGACGATTTTTCTTCCGGATGGCGAGGGATCCGGATAAAAGAGGACCGGATGGCGAGGGATCCGGATAAAAGAGGACCGGATAAGCGAGGTCAGACTGTACTCTGATAATGTGTAAGCTAGGTATTGCACTGGAGCATCTGGCTGCCCGAGTCATGCCGTGTATTCCTCTTATAACGTGCTCTGTCTTTGTGTGTGTGTGTGTGTGTGTGTGTGTGTGTGTGTGTGTGTGTGTGTGTGTGTGTGTGTGTGTGTGTGTGTGTGTGTACTGTGAATCTTGCATGCAGGTTGCCATCAAGGTCACTAAGAAGAACTCTTAACTGGAACAAGACCGCTCACGGCAGTGACCCTGTGGTGCATGTCTGCTACAGTATTCCGGGCAGTGTGGTCTGCTCAGGATCCCTGGTGACGACGACGTCCTGTACATCACCACCTTGCTGCACTGTCGTCGTTTGTCTTAGCGCCACCGCATGTATGCCTGCGAGTGTGCACATGCATGTGTGTGCGCGTGTGTTTGTGTGTGTGTATTAGTGAATGTGTGTATGCGTGTGTGTGTGTGTGCGTGTGTTTGTTTGTGTACGTGCCTGATGTATTACGTCTGGTGTCTGGAAGTTTCTCTTACTTTGCCGATTATTCCCCCCTGCTTGGTCTTGTCCCGCGAATAACCTGAGGGCGACCGACGCTGCAATCTCTCGTGTTTTACTCTCTCTCTCTCTCTCGCGCTTCTTTCTCGAAATGCCATCCGAGATGCGTGGAAAACGCGCGATCTTTTTAGTTATTTTTACCCCCCCCCCCCCCCCCCATTTTACTCTTCTCCTGCTTCCCTTTTTCTCGGTTGCTTTGAGCACTACACAAGCGCCGCTGTGGTTTTTATCCGAAGCTTGACTACTTTCCTCTCAGAGAAACACACTAGTTCTCGCGGTCTATGTTGGAGTTTTGGAATGGGGCTGGCAGGAACGAACGAACCTTTATGTACTAAGGTTACACTTGGTTTGCTTCTATGTGGAGCTCGAAGGTAAACTGGGTACGGATTGACTGCATGATGTGCAATGTCTGTACAAGGTCCGTGTCGTATGACCTACGGACAGAAATCCACCTCCACAAGGCGGCCACGAAAGGACGAGATGGTGGGGCGCTCTGGCGATACTTTGCGGTAGGAGCAGCACAGCAGGGAGTAGTAAAATCCCTGTATTTTTACTACTCCCCTGCAGCAAAGTGAGCCCGTGTGGAGAACCAGTGGGCATGCATGTACCGTAAAGTCGTGTATAAAACTAAGCCGCGGCCCATTGTGACTTCTTTTTGGGGGGGGGGGGGGGGTTGGATTTTGCAGGCTCTACATGAGACAGGCTTTGTATTGCGCGGTGCTTAGTCCAGTACCGCCGCCGGAAAGTTTCGACCAAAGCACGGTTGCTATCATGCGACTTTAAAACAAGTTCACATTCCTGCCTAGCTCGGATAGAGTAAAAGTTGATACATGCTCCCCGAAGGAAGCAGAGGGTACCTGTACCGAGATGCAGGTTCAGAAGTTTTTAAAGTTGGGAACTCGTGGCCTGGCACGAGGGAAGCATGGATGCAGCGAATGGGATTTTCAGTCTTTGACCACTCTGTGGTGGGTCTGATCTACTCACCTCCCTTCGCTTTAGGAGCTGCAACTGAGGCTTGATCCTAGAGGGTGGTGGCGTTCCTACGGATGTGGAAAAGTCGGCCCCTAGCCGAGTCTCACGGCGGTCCGTGAAGGTAGTTTCCCTGCTGGAAACTTCAAAATTTTAATATTCTTCGCACAAAGTCAGAGGGTATTTTTATTACTGCATATCCCTTAAACCACGAAAAGTAGCTGGCAATGTGAAATGCAGCAGCAGCAGCAGCTTATCGAGAGTGCTCAACATGTAACAAGACGAATGCCGAAGAGCGTGTTACCCGATACTATAAGTATCTAATGTTGACTGAGTAGGAGGTCAATATAGGAAATAAAAGCCGAGTAAAAGACCGAGGCGAAGCCGAGGTCTTTTACGAGGTCTTTTTTGACCAAGTACGAAGTCAATATTAGTTTTATCACGACTAGCCAAAGCCTGTGTTCAATCGCTAAAAAGGAGTCAAATATAAGCGGTCAATATAGCCCTAAGGAGTGAAATACGCAGGAATATTTCGACTGCTTAGGTATGGCAAAAATCCATGGGAGTCAATACTAAGGGAGTGATAATAATAATTATTATTATAGAAACAGTCAGAAAGTGCAACAAAACCGACAGAATACTGAGACATTCGACGATCTGACATCTAGCTCCAACACAATCTCCGAAGCGCTACCCAGCAGCCTTCCAACTCGGAAGGTTCTAGCCTAACTGCTTCCATGGTTTTATAAAAGGTAGATCAAATACGGGAAGTTAAGCAGAACGAAGAACCTTCCGAGTTGGAAGGCTGTTGGTCAGCGCTTCGTAGATGTGCTGGAGCTACGTGTAGGTGTCAGGTCGTCGAATGTCTCAGTACTCTGTCGGTTTCTAGTGTGCCTAGTTGCACTTTCTGACTGTACACCGGTATACTTCAGTAGTATCTAGCTACAGTGGAGGACAGTTAAGTTGTATCCATATGTCCCATTCCCTTCTACATTAAATTTTAGTCATTTACCGTGTTGTTGGCTCAACATTCGAGGTACAAACCAGAGACGGTCCTTTCTTTTGCTTGGCAATGCCTCCTCCTGAGAACAGCAAGTATAATTATCATCAGGGGCGTCGGAAGGTAATTTAGTGTGGTACGATCAGCCATCTGAAGTATAATTTACTCGTGGGGGGGGGGGGGGAGTTGTGGCTGAGCCGAAAATTTTGGAATTTTAGACCCCAGATCAGTGTATTTTGTTGATTCACGGGGTATCTGGGGGCATCATGCCAGCATTTATGCCAGGAGGAATGTTCGTGGGTTTTATGGTGTGGTCACAGGTGCCTATGCTTTGAGTGTTGGGATGACCGAGTACTACTACTATAATAGTAAACAGTGTGAAAAAAACCGTGTGCATTCGTGTGTGTGTGTGGGGGGGGGGGGGGGGCTGTGTTAGTTTCAGGGCTAGCAGTGTTATTAGCGCACAATGTGTATTGTAAAACTCGGATGTTGAGCCAATAGTGATTGGACAGGAGACTGCACTCTTGAACATTATCCTTTCATGTTGTCACATGTTGCACGTTGATACTATTAGTGTATTGTAGTTACGAATTGTGTACAGAACTGTCACATGCTGCAAGGGCAGTATTGTCAAGACATGCTAGGTCGCTTGCAATATTGGTGCGTTGCGTATTACTGCTATGTATTTCGCGAGTGTAATATTTATTTGTTAGTCTGTTAGAATTACATCACGAGTGCATGTCTGTTACGTCTACGTCGAGACACATTTTACGATACAGTAATTGCTATGCGTGTTCGTACCACGCCATGTTCACGAGCGGAATATCTTGTGAATTGTTCTAATGTATTATATAAGTAGAATTGTTGACACACTAATTGGTTGCAATGTACATGTACTTACTAGTACTTGATCCGTTGCATTATCGCCATCCGCGGCAACTCCGCTACGATCTACTTGGCGAAACTTACTCTCGCTGACAGGGTGTGCTGTCACCCTGTCGCTGGGTGCAAGCACCCCTTGACAGACACTGTTTTCACCTCCGTAACCAACAATTCTTTATTCTTTCACTCCAGCACATTGCAAGTCATTATTTAGTTTCTGCTTGTTCTGCATTTCAAATTATTGCTTTTCTTTTCGTTGCATGCACTCGTACTCGTACTCGTCCGCGCTGCACGCGCACGCGGACTTTGGCAGTCGCCATATTTAGTATCTCTATGGCTACGATGATCATGCATTTTCTGTACGCTGCATTTTCTCTCTATGCCACGTCGTTGTGTGCATGCATGCAGCGCAAGCCAAATGCACGCACGCTGCACGTTTTGCCCAGGACAGCGATTTGGCGATCGTTGTTCGGTGTGTTCTTTGGTGTTCTTGTTGGAAACGAGTGGCAATGTCGATTAAAGGAGTTTCTGGGTTTTTGTGGTCTGCCTGACGATGGTTAGTTGCGGGACCAAGTCGCACCGCAACAGTGATTATGTAAAGAGAAAAGGACCTATAAGTTATAAGTTGCTAGTTATGGTTAACGCTCCACCAACGTAACGAGATAATCACACAGTCACATAAGTGGGTATACCCAGGTTTCAACAGTGCTCAACACCACAGGGGCGGAGCGTAACCACAAAGGTCAAAAAGAATGGTTTCACCAATTATAGAAACATACGTTGTAACGCTGCGTTTCATGCACGTAGCTAAATGCTAAGGCAATCATCAGACAACTAACCGCCACACATCACACCCTCTGCCCAGTGCCCCCATGGCTTACCCTTGTCCTGCCTGGTGGTTTCTCCGCCTCTGCACGCTTCATGCATAGTTCGCGCCTACTGCGCATGCCCATCCAGTGATGTAATTAAAATTATTATTATTATCACTCGCTCTTTCCATGCATGCCCTGCATTGATAGCTCACACCTCCTCTACATGCCCATGCGTATCCCCCACAATAAGAACAAGCTATCCCGCGACAAAAGCATTAGTTGTCTGATGATTGCCTTAGCATTTAGCTACGTGCATGAAACGCAGCGTTACAACGTATGTTTCTATAATTGGTGAAACCATTCTTTTTGACCTTTGTAATCACACAGTCAGATAGTGCGACGACAAGCCCCTCCTCAAGCCCCTCTTTATCTAGTATTAAATACTCAAAGGTATGTAAAAAATTAAAAATTTAATGTTACATACCTTTGAGCCTCCCAAGTTTTAGGTGGTCTGTTGACTTGCGTTTTCGAGTTGTAGTTAGACCGGTTTGTCCAATGGTCTTACAGGTCTCGTTGATCGTTATCATCATCCTGTAACGTTGGACATTCTTTTTTGCCGAGGGACATAGCTCGTACACATCTTCGTGGCGCATCCCTTCCCCTCAGCGGAACTTTCCGCACCTGAGCCTTCCAGGTTGGGCCCTACTCCAAGTTGGAAGGTTGTTGGTTTGCGCTTCACAAAATGTGTCGGAACTGGGTGTCAGGTCGTCGAATGTCTCAATATCCTTGTCAGTGTTGTACCTTGTTGTTGAGTACTGTAGGAGTTTGGCGTTCGGCTTGTTCAATTCGTTTTCGCAAAGCTTCCCCCTTCTGCACTTATCTTTGATATTTCTGAGCCACCCAAGTTGGGTGGTGTGCTTTGCTGCTTCGAATTGTAGTTAGACCGCTTTGTCAAGTATCCTACTGGTCTCGTCATCGCCCAGTAACAATCGACATTCTTTGTTCCGTTGGGACTGTAGCTTGTGCTCATTTTCGTTGCGCTTACCTTCCCCTCTTTGAACGAAGTAGCGGTGAGGTATCCTGCAGCTTCATAACTCGAAGAGAATTGGTGAGCACACATGCTCATTCCCTGGGCACTGCAAATTCACAACTCATTTCATTTTACAGAATCATTTTCAACGTTTCGGCAAATTGCCATCATCAGGATGCAATATGAAGTGGAAGTCTGCCAAGGAGCAGTTATATACACTAATTTGGTGTTCTTAGGTGTTGATAATATTTCTATGACTGCACCTCAGTCAGCGGCTAGAAATATGACATGTCTAAAACTAGTGAAAGATCACAAGTTTTCACTGACTCACATGCTGGGTGTTGGTAGTAAGTTAGCACCCTCTTTGGTCTCTCCATAACCTTGAACCTTCCGAGTTGGAAGGCTGTCGGTTAGCGCTACGGAGATGTGTTGAAGCTAGGTGTCAGGACGTCGAATGTCTCAGTACTCTGTCAGTTTTGTGCCTACAAGTAGTTATTACACTTTCTGACTGTATATAGTATCTAGTTACAGTGGTGGAGAGTTACTCTTTAACTCGTTTCCATATGTAAGAAGGC